GCAAGCCAGGTAAAGATGACGGTCATTGCGAGTATATCAAGGTAGTTGTTTAATGCTGCAACTTGGGGAGGCTCCGGGGGGAGTATGAGAGAGAACAAATTGCCGTGTTCGGCAGCCCGATTTCTCGCGGCTGTAATATTGATCACGCCACTGGCTGCCGCAGCAGAATCACCTGAGAACATCGAGTGGCCGGCTTACGGTGGTGCCGCTGGCGGTGGCCACCACACTAACGCCACCCACATCACACCCGACAATGTTGCTGGCCTGACAAAAGCCTGGACACATCGCTCCGGAGACTATGTGGCTGGCACCCAGTCTTTAACCGAAGACACGTCAGCAGAATCCATGCGGACCCGCCCGACCAACTTCATGGTCACGCCAATCATGGTGGATGACACCCTGTATTACTGCACGCCTTTCAACCGTGTTTTTGCACTGGACCCTGCCACCGGCGGCGAACGCTGGTCGTTTGACCCCGAGGTCGACATGTCCAAGGAAGGCATCACAAATTGTCGTGCAGTCAGCAGCTGGCGAGCAGACGACCATAAAACAGCGGTGTGTGCGCAACGTATTATTCTCGGCACCCTGGATGCGCGTCTGATCGTGTTGGATGGAAAGACCGGGGAACGCTGCCAGGACTTCGGCCGTAATGGTGAAGTCAGCCTCAACGAAGGATTAACCGAACACGAAGCCTTTGAATACGGCATTACCAGTGCCCCGGCAATTATCGGCGATACGGTGATCACAGGTGCATTTGTACAGGATAGCCGCCGCCCCGATATCCCTTCAGGTGTTGTGCGGGCCTACAACGTCAGAAGTGGCGAGTTTTTATGGGGCTGGAACCCGGTGCATCCCGACCGCCCGCAAACGGATAAAGACGGTAATTTTGTACCGGGCTCCACCAATGTGTGGTCGACAATTTCAGTTGATGAAGCGCGGGGACTTGTCATTGTACCCACCGGTAACTCTTCCCCGGACTACTATGGCGGCGCCCGCGACGGCCACCTAGATTACTACTCCAGTTCCGTTGTGGCGTTAAACGCAGCCGACGGCAGCGTCGCCTGGCACTATCAAACCGTGCATCACGATATCTGGGACTTTGATGTACCCGCACAGCCGACGCTGGTGGATTTAAGCATTGACGGCAAAACCCGCCCAGCTGTTGTCCAGGTGACAAAGATGGGCATGACCTTTGTGCTCGACCGGGAAACGGGCTTGCCATTACACCCTGTAGAGGAACGCGAGGTGCCCCAGACCGGCGCGGTGCCCGGTGAGTACCTGAGTCCCACACAACCTTTTCCGCTCAAGCCCGAACCCTTACATCAGCTGGGCATCTCCCCGGAGGACGCATGGGGTATAACCTTCTGGGACCGCCGCGCCTGCCGCAAGAAGCTGCGGGAAATGACAACCGGACCTATTTACACGCCCCCCAGTCTTGCCGGCACCGTGTTCTATCCCTCTAATCTCGGCGGCAACAACTGGGGCGCACCCGCAGTTGATCCGAAAAGAAAAATCATGGTGGCGAACACCAAACACATCCCTATCGCTGTGCGCCTGGCGAAACAGGCAGACTGCCCCCAAGGCTTACCCTTTCCGCAAATAGGCTCCGATTACTGCGTGATAATGGAACCTCTGACCTCGCCGCTGGGTGCGCCCTGCACCAAGCCCCCCTGGGCTACGCTTGCGGCGGTGGATCTGGAAAGTGGCGATATCCTGTGGCAACAGCCGCTGGGGACGCTGGAGAATCTGGCACCCTGGCCTGTCCACCATTTCTTTGGCAGCGCCATAGAGATGGGCGGTCCGATGATTACCGCCAGCGGTCTTATTTTTATCGCCGCCACCTCGGACAGTTACTTCCGCGCATTTGATATCAATGATGGCACCGAGCTGTGGCGTGACAAGTTACCGACAACCGGCAATGCCGTGCCAATGAGTTATTTGTATAACAATCAGCAATATGTAGTGATTGCGGCCGGTGGTCACTTTACTTCTCCAGCGCCGTCGGGTGATTATCTTATCGCCTACCGCCTGGATGAAGCTGTTGACTGAAGAATCTATAGAGTGCGTTCTTAAATACCTGGTCAAAGGTGTGTCTCCAGACCGTGAATCTCAACGCGCACTCAAAATTGAGCTGGAAGAACTGCTGCCCAGTCACAGTGCCATCACTATCCTGCCGGTGGTTGAGGGCTATTCTGTTGAAATAGAAATGCAGGACATCGCGCCCTTCAGCCGCAGCAGCTTTGAGCCCTATATTGCCGATCAGATACTGACAGAAGCAGTTAATATTCGCTGTCAGAGCCGCGGTGAAACCCAGCTGCAGCTGTTAAAAGCGCGCTTTTATTAATGTATCTGCGACGTCTGAGAATACGCCGATTGTGTGGAGAAACTTTTTGCAAGATTTAAACGAATTCCGTTTGGAGACACGAGACTGGCTGGCGAAAAATTGCCCGGATGGCGCCAAAGGTCCCGGCTATATACCGATTGGCAGCAGTCACATCGAACTGGATACGGATACCCGACTCTGGCTTGAACGTATGGCGGAAAAAGGCTGGACCGTGCCCACCTGGCCCAAGGCTTATGGCGGCGCGGAACTCGATCGCAAACAATATCAGGTACTTATCGAAGAACTGAAAGCCGTTGGTGCGCGCACGCCGCTGACCGGCCGCGGGGTCAACTACATAGGCCCAACCATCCTGGAATTTGGCACAGATGCGCAGAAACAGAAATGGCTGCCGCGCTGTGCTCGCGGTGAAGGCGCGTGGGCGATGGGCTATTCCGAGCCTGGCGCAGGCTCTGATCTCGCCAGCCTCAGTACGCGAGCCGAACGCAACGGCGATCACTATCTGATTAACGGCGCAAAAATATGGACCAGTGATGCCACCGAATGTGATTTTATTTTTGCACTGGTACGCACCTCACCAGACAAACCCAAACACGAAGGTATTTCACTGGTACTTATCGACATGAGCCAACCTGGAGTGCAGGTCTCACCTATTGCCTTGATCTCTGGCGCATCACCCTTCTGTGAAACCTATTTTGATAATGCCGTTGTGCCTGCTGAAGATCTGATTGGTGGCGTCGACAATGGCTGGACCGTGGGCAAACGCCTGCTGCAATTCGAACGCTCCACCCATGCAGGCATTAACATTTCCGGCTCCCAGGGTGGTCGCGTGGAAGAAAGCCGGATGCCCGGCCTGGTACGCAACTATGTCGGTCCGGAAAACGGCAGGCTGAACGACGACGCCCTGCGTGCCTGGCTGACGCGATATGAGATGAATACGAAGGCACAACAAATCACCCAACGCAGAGCAATTGAAGAGTCACAATCTCACGCCCCTGGATTCACCTCATCAGCGGTAAAACTCAGCAACGCGCTTAACATTCAGGATGGTGACGAACTGGCAGTGGCCGCCATGGGTACTCAGGGATTGCGGTGGGATGGTGACAACGCTGACCCTAAGGAACTGGCGCGCCTGAAGCAGTGGTTGTACCAGAAGTCTTTGACCATCGCCGGCGGCACAAAAGAAGTGCAGCTGAACATTATTGCAAAACGGGTACTCGGCCTGCCCGATTAAACAGTACTGGGCTGCGGCGCGCGATAAAACGCCACCGCACAGGCAGCAAAACCGTACAGAAAAAGCAGTGCCTGAAACGCCTGGGCGTAAGAACCCGTGGTGTCGTACACCCAACCAGCAAAGGGTACGCCGAGGATCTGTATCGGGAACATTGCCGGCCGCATCAGGCCCAACACCGCGCCAAAGCGTTCACGTCCAAAAGTCTTGCCTACAATTGCGCCATGCAATGGCACTACCCCACCAACCCCATAACCAAACAGAGCAGCTCCGACAGCAAACCAGAACAATGCTTCGCTCTGGTACATGAGCAATTGCCCGCTGAACTGCACCAGGATCACCAACAGCAGTACTCTGCGCATGGGCAACTTATCACCCAGCCAGCCGAAACTGAGCTTGCCGAAGATACCCAGACCGGCACACAACGACATCACCAGCGAGGCCAGACTCAACTCGTGGCCCATGTCTGTGAGCCTGGGCACCATATGTGTCAGAGTTGTGCTCATGCAGCAGAAAATAAGCGAAAACGTTAAGACGATGACCCAGAAATTATGATCACGCCAGACCTGGTGCATAGACAATCGGGGTGCAGGCGCTGCCTTCGCCTGGACATCGGTGGGTGGGAGTTGCAACGCGCCATCCGGTTGCAGACCAACATCTTCGGGTTTCGACACCACCACACTCAGAACAAAGGGCACTACTACCATGAAGGTAAACAGGCCATAGACCAGAAAGCCGTTACGCCAGCCATATCCAGCGATGATTTCGGCGCTGATGTAGGGCATCACCACACCTGACAGAGAAACACCGGTGGCGGCCATGCCCAATGCCATGCCGCGTTTCCGATCAAACCAGTTTGCCACCAGTTTGCTGGTCGCAAGATTACCCATCGAAGATGCGCCGAAGCCGATAAACAAACCCAGGACCAGATAAAACTGCATCTGCGTCTGCACCTGACTGAGACCCAGAAAACCTATCGCCATGGAGGTTGCACCAACACCAATCACGCGCTTCAGAGGAAAGTGATCCAAGGCTCTGCCGACCAGTGGTGCCGCTATCGCGCCGACTGCATTGGTGACGGTGAGTCCCAGCGCAACACCCAGTCGGGAATCACCAAACTCAGCGGCAATGGCCTTAAAAAACACGCCGTAGGAATAGAAGAAAAAGCCAACGGCGACAAAATCCACAAAAAATGCAGCCCCCACCATACGCCAGCCCATGAAGATCTTTTTTGCACCCGCAACGGTCGAGCCTCTGGCTTCTGGGTCAGACACAGGCAGCGGCAACAATAAATTCAGCGAACAGCACTACGCCGTTGCACATGACTGCGCTCAAGACAAACTCCAGCTGGGAAGATAAAACCGTTATTCTACCATCACTTGATGTATTGCCGGGCGGTAGATGCAGCAAGCGTCTGAGGGGAGACAAATGGCGACGCGAAAAACTAGACAAAAAGACAAAGACATTACCGCAGCGGTAAATGAACTCTGCCTCTGGTTCCCGCAAACACAGCGGGTCATCAGTCATGGCTCACCAGACTTCCGCGTGGCCGGTAAAACGTTTGCCACCTACGTGATCAACCACCACGGCGACGGTCACCTGGCGTTGTGGCTGAAGATGCCTGCAGGCGCCCAGTCTCTATACGTCGACGCTGAACCCGAGTTTTTCTACGTGCCTGCATACGTTGGACCTAAAGGCTGGCTGGGCGTCGATCTGGACAAAGGGATGGACTGGGGCAGAATCGCAGATCTGGTGCGTCAGGCCTATGTCCATGTCGCGCCGCGCTCAGTCAGCGCAAAATTACCTCAGGGCCCGGATCTTGAACCGCCAACCGGGACCATTGATCCGATCGAATTCGACCCGCTGGTCGCACCGCACCGCAAACTGTTACTGCAGCAGATTGCCAACCTGTGCCTTGCACTGCCTGAAACCAGCCAGGATCGCCAATTCGGCAACCCCTGCTTTCGCGCCGGTAAAAAGAATTTCTGCACGGTTTATATGCACAAGGGACGTTTACAGTTGTCCATCTGGGCTGGCAGCGATGCACAAGCCAGCCTGACCTTCGACAAACGCTACCAAATACCACCCTATACCGGGCACAATGGATGGCTGAACCTGGATATTGAAGAAGGGCTGATGGCCGGTGAAGCAGCAAGCTTAATTGACCAGAGTTACCGACACTTTGCGCTACAACGCATGCTGAAAGTACTTGATGTCCCGCGTTAACTAAAAACAGAATCTATTAGGGAGTAAAATGACCGCACCTTTGCAAGACATTACCGTGATCGAGGTCGACAGCTACATGGCAGCACCCAGCGCTGGTGCGATTCTGGCGGACCTGGGCGCCAACGTAATCAAGGTTGAGCCACTCACCGGCGATCCAATGCGGGGATTATCCCGCCCCATCAAACAGGATGACGCCAGCGACGCGATCAAAGCCTACGACTTCGGTTTCGACGTCGATAATCGTGGCAAGCGCTCCATCGCGGTTGCTCTGGACCAGCCGGAAGGGGCTGAACTGGTAAGGAAGCTGGTGGCTGGTGCCGATATTTTCATGTGCAACCTGCTGGTCAAGCGCCAGGAAAAATTTGGTCTGGATCCGGCATCACTGCTTGCGGTCAAACCCAACCTGGTCCACGCCACGCTTACCGGCTATGGCACCACAGGACCTGATGCCTGGCGACCGGGTTACGATGTAACCGCTTTTTTCGGGCGTTCTGGTTTATACGATGCGCAACGTGAAGGGGATGCGGGCGTTGTGCCTATGGCCCGCCCTGCTCAGGGTGACCACACTACCGGCCTGGCCATGGTCGCCTCTATTCTGGCCGCTCTGCGCCTGGCAGAGCGCAGTGGCGAAGGCCAGGTGGTAGAAACATCGCTGTATGAAACCGCAGTGTGGACCCAGGCAACCGACTACGCTGTCACCGCTATCGACCATGCACCGGTGCGTCGTCGAGCACGTAAAGAGATGCTTGCCATCACAGCCAATCGATTCCCCTGTGGCGATGGTAAATGGGTGGTATTCAATATGATGCCAGATTCCGCGTTCTGGTCACGAATGTGTCAGGCCATAGAAATTGAAGAATTGATCGACGACGAACGTTTTGTCGATTCTCGCTCGCGTTACCGTAACATGACCGCGCTCATTGACCTGGTGGATGCCGCCCTGGCCAAACGCAGCCGCGACGAATGGGGTGAAATCTTTGACAAAGCGGGCCTTATCTGGGGACCGGTATTGGCCTTACACGAAGTCCCACAAGACCCTCATGCAATTGAACTGGGCATGTTTCCTCAGGTCGAACACGAAGACATCGGCACGTATCGCACTGTGAATATCCCCATGCGTTTTGCCAACGCAGATGTTAAACCTCAGGGACCGGCACCGGAACTGGGTGAGCATACCCGACAGATTCTCAGCCAGGCTGGTTTTGATGACAACGCTATCGACAGCATGACCGCAGATGGCATCATCGGCATGGGCAACAACCAGGACAACTGAGGCAACCGCTAAAAGGAACTGTTATGAACAACATTGTTGTAGTTGACTGCATTCGGACCGGTCTCGCAAAAGCACATCGCGGCACATTCAATATGTCCCGCTCCGATGATCTGGTTGCACATTGCATCAACGCCCTGCTGGACCGAAACCCAAGTCTGGACCCGGCGCTGGTGGAAGATGTCATTCTGGGCTGCGGGCGACAGGTGGGCGAACAGTCTGCAAACGTTGCGCGCCATGCGGTGGCGCTGTCCAACCTGCCGATCACAGTACCGGCCACCACCATCAGCCGAGCGTGCTCCTCGGGCTTGAACTCCATCGCTTTTGCCGCCAGCCAGATCAATTCCGGTTTTGCAGAAATCATGATGGCCGGCGGTGTTGAATCCATCACCGGCTTGAGCCGCGGTACGGAAGCTAAGTTTGCCGAAAACCCGACACTGACCGAGCAGATGCCGGACATGTACATGGCCATGGGCAATACCGCTGAGGTGGTTGCACGACGCTACCAGGTCACGCGGGAATCCCAGGACGCTTATGCGCTGCAGAGCCAGCAGCGTTACGCGGCAGCGGATGAGGCCGGTTACATCAGTGACGAAATAGCCCCCATGCAGGTGCAGTGGCGCAAAATTATCGACAAGCAGAGCAAAGAAACGGAAATCGTTACCGGCGTGGTGGATCGGGACGAATGCAATCGCCCTAACACGACCCTCGACGGTCTCAGCCAGCTCGCCCCAGCATTCGAAGAAGGCGGATCTGTCACCGCAGGCAACGCATCACAACTGTCAGATGGCGCCGCCATGACCCTGCTGATGACAGAAGCCAAAGCTATTGAACTGGGATTGACACCAATGGGTTATTTCCGCGGCTTTACGGTAGCCGGCTGTGAACCGGACGAAATGGGTATTGGACCGGTTTTCGCTATACCCAAATTGTTAGACTATGCTGGCCTGACTATGGACGACATTGATCTGGTAGAGCTTAATGAAGCCTTTGCCAGCCAGTGCCTGTACTGTCGGGATCAACTGAATATTGATAACGACATCTACAATGTCAACGGCGGTTCTATTGCCATAGGCCATCCGTTTGGAATGACCGGCACCCGCTTAACCGGCTCGCTGCTCAGGACTCTGAAACGGCAAAACAAAAAGTACGGCATCGTGTCGATGTGTATCGGCAAAGGCATGGGTGCTGCTGGATTGTTCGAAGCCATTTAACACCGCCTCAATTGGAGAGCTGCATGATAAATAAAGACCGACGATCGTTCATCAAAACCAGTGCTCTGGCAGGTGCTGGCACGTTATTGCCCGGCGCTGCTCAATCGGCTCCCACACCAGCGAGCAATACCCGGGGTGTGCAGGCCTATCGGCGCCTGGGTCGCACAGAATTAAAAATATCTGACATTTCATTTGGCTCATCGCGATTGCGTACCGGTGAAGAAGCACTGGTGCATCATGCCATTGATCGTGGTGTTAACTATTTTGACAGCGCGGAAAGCTATACCGGCGGTGAATCCGAAACAGTGATCGGCAACGCCATCAAAGGCCGTCGCGATAAGGTATATCTGGTTTCAAAAACGCTGACCAGCAGCAGCACCAGCGCAGCGACCATGATGCACGATCTGGAAGGGTCACTGCGCCGACTACAAACCGATTATGTAGATGTGTACATGAATCACGCGGTTAACAGTGTTGACAGCGTTGGCAATCCCGAGTGGCTGGCGTTTGTGGATCAGGCCAAAACACAGGGGAAAATTCGTTTCACGGGTATCTCCGGCCATGCCGGACGGCTGATTGAGTGCCTCGACTACGCGATAGACGAAGACATGATCGACGTCATGCTGGTGGGTTATAACTTTGGCCAGGACCCGGCGTTTTACGAGGGCTTAACCCGCGGTTTTGACCGCATTGCAACCCAACCTGATCTGCCGCGAGCCATCAGCAAAGCAAAAGAAAAAGACATCGGCGTCATCGCGATGAAAACATTGATGGGCGCGCGCCTGAACGACATGCGACCTTATGAACAAGCCGGCGCAGAAACTTTTGCCCAGGCTGCGTTCAGTTGGGCACTGGCGAATCCGAACGTCGATGCGCTGATCATTTCGATGACCGGTAAAGATCAGATCGACGAATATCTCGGCGCCTCTGGCGCATCGTTTGTCACTGCCCAGGCACGTCAACTGCTTGATCAGTATGCGCATTTAAACGGCAACAACTATTGTCGACATGCCTGCAACCTGTGCGAAGGCGCCTGCCCCTACGGCGTACCGATTGCCGACGTGCTGCGCACGCGCATGTACGCAACAGACTATGAAGACGTCAACTTCGCTCGGCGTGAATACGCTCTATTAGACAGCAACGCCAGCGCCTGCCTGAGCTGTTCCGGCGAACCCTGCCAGGATGCCTGCCCCAACGGTATCGAAATTGACAAACTGTGCGCACCAACCCATCGCATGCTTGGCTTGCGTCCGGGTGAACACCTGACTTAAGGAGTATTCAGGCATTGGCACTGGAAGATGTATTACAGGCTTTTAAAGACGGCGAACTTGAGCTGGACGACGCCTTAACCCGGGTACGCAGTCACTACTTTGAAGACATTGGCCACACCCTTGTCGATCATGATCGTCAGAGACGTACCGGCGCCGGTGAAGTGGTATTTGGTTCCGGTAAAAGCCCGGAACAGATATCTGACATTGTTGGGCATCTGGTGGAACGTGAATGCAACGTCCTTGTTACCCGGGTTGAGCCTGAAAAATATGCAGCTTTAACCGGCCTGCCCGATGATGTGAAGTATCACCCGGATTCAGCGCTGTTGAGCTGGGTCACCAAAGTACCCGATACCCCACCCCACACCATCGCTGTTGTCACAGCGGGCACCTCTGATATCAGCGTGGCCGAAGAGGCAGCGCTGACCGCGGAATTTTTTGGCAATACCGTACTACGGATCAACGATGTCGGTGTGGCAGGTTTGCACCGCATCCTGTCACGCCTGGACGACTTACGTAGCGCACGTGTACTGGTTGTGGTTGCGGGTATGGAAGGCGCGCTGCCCAGCGTTGTCGGCGGTTTAGTGGATAAACCGGTGATCGCGGTACCCACCAGTGTCGGCTACGGCGCTGCGTTTGAGGGTGTCGCCGCTATGCTCGGGATGTTAACCAGCTGTGCATCGGGTGTATCCGTGGTGAACATCAACAACGGTTTTGGCGCCGGCTTCCTTGCCAACACCATCAATCGTTTGTAGGTTTAGCTCATGCACGCAGATATAGAACAGAAATACCAGGCCCTGAAGGACCATCTGGCGCAGTACGACAGCGTTATTGTGGCTTTCTCTGGCGGCATTGACAGCTCATTAGTCGCCTACGTTGCCGGGCAGGTTCTGGGGAAAAAAGCACGCGCGGTGACGTCCGCGTCCGCAAGCCTGAAGCGTGCGGATCTGGCCCTGGCGGAAAAGCTTGCGGAAGACTGGGGTATTCAGCACGAGGTCATTGTGACCGACGAGTTGTCAAAACCCGAATACCGCGCCAACCCGACCAACCGTTGTTTTCACTGCAAGACCTCGCTGTACACATATCTGGATGAAATGGCGAAAGATGGCGGCATCGAAACGGTTCTGAACGGTACCAATCTTGATGATCTTGGCGACCATCGCCCGGGTCTCGTCGCAGCCGATAACTTTGAAGTGCGCTCACCCCTGGTGGAAACCGGGTTTCACAAAGCAGACATACGCGCTTTAGCAAACGCGCTTGGGCTCGAGAACGCGGAGAAACCTCAGGCGGCATGTCTGTCCAGTCGTTTCCCTTACGGTACTCACATCACCCAGGCGTTGCTGGCTCAGGTAGAGGCCGCAGAGGACGTTCTGGCAGAACTGGGTTTCACCCAGTTTCGCGTCCGTCACCATGGCGACGTCGCTCGCCTGGAAATACCGGCAGCGGAAATGACAAAGGCTATCGAACTCCAGGACCAGCTACAAACCAGAATCCAGGCCGCGGGCTATCATTTTGTGGCGCTGGATCTTGGCGGCTTTCGCTCAGGCTCACTCAACGTGACGCTGACACCTGAGCAGAAAGTGCAGGTTGTGAATATCGTCCAACCATAGATCGGTGGTCAGGATCAGGCCTCTTTCGCTTCCTGTCTGGATTTGAGATACAGCGAGAGCTGTCGGTCATGCCGGCTCATCGCTGACAATGGACCCGGTCTCACATAGGGTGCCCATCCGGGCGGACTTGCCGCTTCAACGTTATCACCCATCACGGTTACCCGCTGAATAATACGTTCACCCTCAAAATCGTTGAGCACAAAGTGCTGGGTGCAGCGATTGTCCCACATGGCGATGGTGCCTTCGGACCATTGATAACGGACGGTGAATCGCGGGTTTTTCACCCAGTTTGTCAGATAGGTCAGCAATGTTTCACTTTCAGTCGCATTCACTTCCACCAGACGCCGGGTGAAGTGTTCATTAACGTATAACGCCTTGTTGCCGGTTTCCGGGTGCACCCGAACCACCGGATGTATGGCCATTTTGTCAGGACGATTGTGCGGCAACGCATCATGTAGAGCCGTCAGTGATTCACACAATGACTGCATAGGTGGAGACAGCTCATTAAACGCCTGTTCCAGTGAACTCCACATGGTGTCACCACCCACTTCCGGGCATTTAACCATGTGCAGAACCGACATCATCGATGGGTGCGTCTCAAAGGTGATGTCTGTGTGCCATTCGTCAGCAATCCCGCCATGGGTCGCCGCCAGTTCAAACACACCGGGATGATTGGTGTACGGGTTTTTCAGGTTAGGGTGATCTTCAATCTGACCAAAAAACTCACCCAGCGCCACGTGTTCTTCCAGGCTGACTTTCTGTCCCGGGAAAAAAATCACTTTGTGCGCCAGCAGCAGCGCCTTGATCTGTTCAATATCGGCACTGGACGGTGCGCTCAGGTTTACCCCGGTTATCTCCGCACCCAGCGCGCCCGCTAAGCGCTTTACCTGCCATTGTGTTGTCATGATCAAGCCTCCTTCAACAGTACATCGTCAGATACGTCGCGCACGAATAGTGGCTCCACCCCTAAACTCACGGCGTCCGCATCCAGCGCCATTGGGTCAGGAGCACTGACAGGTTCACGCGCCGCAGCAAAGATAGCATCGAGCAGAGATGCATCGCTGGTGGTATTCAGAAACAGGTTATCGCGATTCAGGACAAAATCCACCGCCCGCTTCAAGGGTTCGGGTTCTCGTATGGGCCGGTACCAGGAAAAGTGTTTTTCCGGATCGTCATCACGCCAACGGCGCAGGGCAATACTCTTGATGGTCTGCATCGCCACCTGGCGCTCCTGACAAAGTGCATACAGCGTTTCAAAGTCTGCTGCGTATTGCGCATTGTTCATCATCGAATAGTTATACGGCACCAGAATTGAGTCGAAGTCATAGGCCTGCAGACTGCGAACGTGCATCAAAGGCGCGTAGGTGCCATGTCCGGTCACGCCGATAAAGCGCACCAACCCCTGCTCTTTCGCCTCGACTAAGGCCTCCAGCGCACCGCCGGGACCCATCGCTTCTTCCCACTGATCAGGCTGAACAAGGTTATGCATCTGGATCAGATCGATCTGTGCCACCTGCATTCTTTCAAGTGATGCGTGCAACTGGTCTCTTGCCGCGGCTTTGCTGCGTAACCCCGTTTTTGTGGCAAGAAAAAAGTCGTCGCGACGTGTCTTTAAAAACGGCGCCAGGCGCAGTTCTGCTTCGCCATAACTTGCCGCCACATCGATATGATTCACGCCATAAAGATCCAGTTTTGCCAGGGTTGCATCTGCGCGCTCCTGCTTCATCGCACCCAGAGCTGCGGCACCAAATATCGTGCGGCTGCTGCTGTGACCGGTGCGGCCAAATGGTATTTTTTCAATCATTGTGCATCCTTTACCCTACCCTCATTGCAGTCTTTAGCGTATCCCAGATTGGCGTAGCTGAACACTGCTGCCGTGTGCGACCGGCAGGCATCGGTTAAACTGTGGGCATCATTTACCGAAGGCAAGCCATGGCGACTCACGTGCACACTTTTGCAGGCAATCCGCTGGATCGGGCTGAATCGATTCGTCGCGATGAACAGGCCATCAAGGCTCTGGTTGATGCCGATGACAGTGTGTTCCTCACCTTTCATCAGCTCAAAGTGGCGATGGACGCAAACCAGAACCTGGCCTGGCAGCGACAGGAAGAACTGGCGGCACTGTCCGAGCACATCGTGTCAGAACCCATTCTGCTGGGCTTACGCGACAATGTTGCCCATTTTGCCGCCAACATCGATGCACCCGCGGATGCCGAGCAGTATATCGACTGTCGAGCGGCGGCAGCGCTGCTACCCGGACCGGATGCAGGCATTGTCGCCCATGCCCGCGCACAGCTGGATTGGCACCGTCGCAACGGTTTCTGTGCCCAGTGCGGCGCACCCAGCGCGGCAGAACGTGGCGGACAGATCCGACGCTGTTCAGGCTGCGGCAAACATGTGTTTCCGCGGACAGATCCTGTTGCGATCATGTTGGTCATCGATGAACCCGCTGGCGATCGATGCCTCCTGGGGCAATCTCAGGGCGTTATGGCCAATACTCAGTTCTATTCTGCGTTGGCAGGCTTTCTGGATCAGGGTGAATCCCTGGAGGACGCGGTAAGACGCGAAGTCTGGGAAGAAGCGGGCATCCGCGTTGGCGACGTCCAATATCATTCATCGCAACCCTGGCCGTTTCCCTCTCAGTTGATGATTGGCTGTCACGGTATTGCTGAAACCCAGAATATTCAGATCGACCCGGCGGAGATGGCGGATGTGCGATGGTTCAGCCGCGCAGATGCTCTGCGGGCGGTGAACAAAGACCACGACAGCCTGCGGGTTCCCGGGGAAATGGCTATCGCCCATCACCTGATTCGCAGCTGGGCTCAGGGAGAGATTACGCTTTGAATGCTTTGCACTGTTTTAATTGTGGCGCCAGTCTGGCTGACGAACCGCTTCCCCTCAGCCGCCAGGCCACCTGCAACCAGTGTTTTTACGAACTGCACTGCTGTCGCATGTGTCAACACTTTGACCCGGCAAACGCCACCCGCTGCTTCGAAGATCGAGCTGAAACCCCCATAGAAAAAGAAATCGCCAACTTCTGTGAATACTTCGAACCCGCAGCTGGCAGAGGACCGGAGGGTAGTGAGGCTGAATCTGGCGCAGATAAAAGCCAGCAGGCCAGGCAACAACTCGACAATTTGTTCAAGTCATAAACTTACCACAATAAAATTGCCACATTGACCAGCAGCCCACATCGCGGAACAATAGGGCCCATAAAACCAACAAACTAATTACGACTAGGAAGACAGGTATGAGTATCGCGAGTTTGGCAGGGGTACTGAAGATTTTTGGGGGCTCCGATCCAAGTCCTGAAGAGCAGGCACAGCTGGCTAAAGAGGTCATGTTGATGACGTTGGCACGTGCAACTGCAGCAGATACCAACATCAAGGCCATTGAAATTGAAAAAGTCCGCGATGTTCTGCGCGCCCATACCGGCGAAGACTTCCCTGCCGCAGACGTCCGTGTTGCCGCCAATTCGCGCATTTACGAAAGCGCGCCGCTGGACAAATACATCGCCACATCTGCCAAAAAGCTGACCGCCAGCGACCGTCAGGACATCGCTCAGGCCCTTGCCGAAGTGATTAACGCTGATGGCCGGGTGAGCAGCCGCGAGATTGACTTTTTCAATAAGGTCGCCGCCTCACTGTCCCTGACCCCTGCACAATTGATGGGCCTTAAAGAAGAAGAGTGAGAAACCCGCAAAAAAACGGGTTCCAGACAGACTTTTTTTGCCTTTATTGCGACTCCTCTGGATAACCCCCCAGAGGATCGCAAGCCATGTGCCCCATTTTCACTGAGAAATTATCGTGGCGCGCAGCAACGCCGTTCAATCAGCTTGCACTTTACAGTGCCCTGCTCCTAATCCTCGCAACGAATCCTGCTGTCGCCTGGGATGCCTATGGTGGCGACGCTGGCGGCAGTAAATACAGCACTCTGACTCAAATAAACCGCGACAACGTCGACCAGCTCGAACAGGCCTGGGTCTATCAGAGCGGCGAAACCGGCGAAGGTTATATAAATGGGCAAGCCCTGACCTTTGAAGCCACCCCGGTTTTCTGGCAGGACACGCTCTTCTTCAACTCTTCGTTTGGTAAAGCCTATGCTGTGGACGCAGCAACCGGTGAAGAGCTCTGGCGTTTTGATGCAGGCTTCGATCGCAACGAGCGTTTTGACGAAACCGCCGCTCGAGGGGTGAGCCTGTGGCATGGTGACCAACCCGATGCTGCCTGCAATCATCGCATTCTGTTTGGCACTTTGCGCGGACACCTGCACGCACTGGACGCCCTGACCGGCAAACCCTGCAAGGATTTTGGTACAGATGGCCTTGTTGATCTGACCGTTGGCGTCGGTGAGGTAGAACAAGGTTCATACACACTGACGTCGCCACCGGCCATCATCAACAACACACTCTATATCGGTTCAGCCATTGGAGATAATCGCAAAGTCGAAAGTGAACACGGCATTGTGCGCGCTCTGGACATTCTTTCCGGCAGGATTCTATGGTCCTGGGATCCTATTCCAAGATCAGCTGCAGATCCTGCGCGCCAAACCTGGCAGGGCAACAGTGCCGACATCAGTGGCGGCGGCAACGCCTGGGCGCCCCTGTCAGTAGATGTAGAACGACAGCTGGTATTTGTGCCGACGTCAGCGGCCAGCCCGGATTTTTTCGGCGGTCACCGCGCCGGCGATAACCTGTACACCAACTCAGTAGTCGCGCTAAACGGCACAACCGGCGAAGTGGTCTGGTATCAACAGCTGGTCCATCATGATGTCTGGGATTACGACACACCTGCCCAACCGGTGTTGGTGGATATCGACCTTGGCAAAGGTTCAGTGCCCGCGCTTCTGCAGGTCACAAAGACAGGCATGTTGTACGTATTTGACCGACGTACAGGTGTGCCGCTCATTCCGATAGAAGAACGTCCCGTCGCCACTGATGGTGTTGCAGACGAAACACTGTCTGAGACCCAACCCTTCTCTACCCTGCCACCACTTGCCAGCCAGCGGGAAATCACTCCGGATGACGCTTTTGGTGTCGCTTTCTTCGACAAACGCGCTTGTGCAGAACGCATTGAACAATACCGTACTGGGAGTATTTTCACGCCACCCAGTCTGGCCGGTACGCTCATGAATCCAGGTTACGCCGGTGGCATGAACTGGGGTGGCGTAGGCGTTGATGCAGAATCTGGCTTAGCGGTCAGCTTCGTGAATGAGTTACCAGCCATTGTGCGCCTGGTACCGCGTGCAGAATTTGATATAAACAATCGCTCTGAGGGGTTCGATGCCGCTCGCATGGAGGGCACCCCCTATATTATGGAGCGGACACCTTTTTTATCCGCCCTGGGTTTGCCCTGTACACAACCGCCCTGGGGCAAGCTGGTTGCTATGGATCTACGCAAACGTGAGATCGCCTGGAGCATGCCGCTGGGCACAATTGCGGATCTTGCGCCAGCAGCGGTGCCGAATTTTGCCTGGGGTGTACCCGGCATGGGTGGGCCACTGATCACCGCCGGTCAACTTGTTTTTATTGGCGCGGTCGCGGAACACAAATTCAGAGCCATCGACCTGATGAGTGGCCGCGAACTCTGGCAAGGTGAACTGCCTCGCGCAGGTATGGCTTCACCCATGACTTATACAAGCAAAGGTAAACAATACGTTGTGATAGCTGCAGGCGGGCACGCGCAGGTCACCGATCAAACCGGGGACTACCTGGTAGCGTTTGCATTGCCTGACTAGATATCCAGACAGGCATCTTCCTTAACCGGGGTTTTGCCCCAGGCTGGTTATGCAGCGCTTGATTTCGCCCGTCGGGGGCTAGTGGCAGGCTTACGACGGCTCTGCTTCTGGCGAGCCTGGCTGGCCGCCTGATTGCGTCTTTCCTGAGCAATTAGGCGGGATTCATTTCTGTTAATCACGATCTGTCTCTCTCGGCAGGGACTTCTATTACAGAACGATAAACGAAACTCGGGTGTTGACCCTTGTTACTACGTCACACTTTGTTTAACAAAGCCGCACACCTGTGCACTCTGTCACACCCGATGGTCATCATCGAAGCGGCGCGCATCGTATACAAGCTTTGAGCGTAAAGCTACTGAAGAATAAAGAAATTTTGAATGAAACACTGAAGGAGCGACACCGCGTTGCGCGGTGCCGCTTGCGCAAATCTGACTAAGCTGCTGCAGCCACCAGATTGTTCAGCACGTACTGCAGAATGCCACCGCTTTTGTAGTATGCAATCTCGTTATCCGTATCGAGGCGGCTGTCTACCATGACGGTCTGTTCGCTGCCATCAGCACGATGGATGACAACCTTTATTTCCTGACGAGGGGTTTCAGTTGCACCATCAGGTAACTGCACATCTATGATTTCATCGCCGGTCAGGCCTAAGCTCTGACGACTGTCTCCGGCTTTGAATTGCAGAGGCAGCACACCCATACCAATCAGGTTAGAGCGGTGGATACGCTCAAAGCTTTCCACCAGTACCGCTTTAACACCCAACAGACGGGTGCCTTTTGCTGCCCAGTCACGGCTTGAACCGGTACCGTACTCTTTACCGCCAATCACAACCAGTGGTGTGCCTTCTCCGGCATATCGAACGGCAGCATCATAGATGCTGATTTCATCGCCAGATGGGATATGTTTGGTGTAACCGCCTTCAAGACTGGGCACCATTTCGTTGCGAATACGAATGTTCGCAAAAGTACCGCGCATCATGACTTCGTGGTTACCACGTCGCGATCCATAGGAGTTGAACTCTTTCACATCCACCCCTGCCTGCTGCAGATAATGCCCGGCCGGACTATCCGGCTGAATGGCACCTGCAGGTGAAATATGGTCCGTGGTTACTGAATCGCCCAGCACGGCAAGGATACGAGCGCCATTGACGCCAATCGACTGCGTCTGATCGCCACCGACTGCAAAAAACGGAGGCTGTTTGATGTAGGTTGAATCTTCCCAGCCGTAAGTGCCGCCTGAATCCACTTCTATCGCCTGCCATGCAGGAGGGCCAGTGAAAACGTCAGCGTACTGACGATCAAACATAGCCACTGAAACCTGATCGACAACGTCACGAATCTCCTGATTGCTTGGCCAGATGTCAGCCAGCATCACATCATTACCATTCTGGTCCTGACCGATAGGCTCACTGCTGAGGTCAATCGAGGTGGTGCCGGCCAGCGCGTATGCCACAACCAGCGGCGGTGAGGCCAGCCAGTTGGTGCGCACTTCCTGGTGCACACGACCTTCAAAGTTACGATTACCTGACAGTACCGATGCAACAACCAGGTCATTGGATTCAATTGCACTGGAAATGTGTTCCGGCAGCGGTCCTGAGTTACCAATACACGTTGTGCAACCATAACCTACGAGGTTAAAGCCAAGATCGTCCAGCGCTTCCTGCAGATTGGTCGCTTCCAGATATTCTGTGACCACTTTTGATCCCGGTGCCAGCGAGGTTTTCACCCAGGGCTTAACTTTCAGTCCTTTGGCCAGCGCTTTCTGAGCAACCAGGCCTGCGCCAAGCATTACTGCAGGGTTAGAAGTGTTGGTGCAGGACGTGATTGCGGCAATAACCACATCGCCGTCGGTAAGCTTATAGTCTTCACCGGGCACATCGACACTGGCAGGCTTCTGTCGTCCGTACAATTCCAACGCTTCGGAGAACGCACGCTTCAAATCTGTCATAGCCACGCGATCCTGGGGACGCTTGGGTCCTGCAAGACTTGGTACAACCGTCGACAGATCCAGTTCCAGGGTGTCTGTGTAGACTGGATCCACGGTGTTTTCATCGCGGAAAATACCCTGAGCTTTGCAATAGGCTTCAACCAGCGCAACCGTATCCGGGTCGCGATTGGTCAGGCGCAGGTAATTGAGGGTTTCTGAATCAATCGGGAAGAAGCCACAGGTCGCGCCATATTCAGGCGCCATATTGGCAATGGTGGCCTGATCTGCAAGGGACAGATTGTCCAGACCTGCACCATAAAACTCGACAAATTTGCCCACGACACCTTTGGCTCGCAGCATTTCCACGACAACCAGTACCACATCTGTTGCGGTAATCCCTTCGCCGACAGAGCCAGTCAGTTTAAACCCAACCACTTCGGGTATGAGCATGCTGATCGGCTGACCCAACATAGCGGCTTCAGCCTCAATACCACCCACACCCCAGCCGAGCACACCCAGCCCGTTGATCATGGTGGTGTGACTGTCGGTGCCGACCAATGTATCCGGGTAAGCTACCGTTTTGCCGTCTTCTTCTTTGGTCCAGACTGCTTTTGCCAGATATTCCAGATTCACCTGGTGGCAGATGCCGGTACCCGGCGGGACGACGCTGAAATTTTCAAATGCTGTCTGACCCCAGCGCAGGAAGCGATAACGCTCACCGTTACGCTGCATTTCGAGCGCGACATTTTCGTCGAAGGATTCATCGGTACCAAATTTGTCCACCATCACCGAGTGGTCGATGACCAGGTCTACCGGTGACAACGGGTTGATGATGTTTGGGTCTAAACCCGCATCAACTACCGCAGAGCGCATGGCTGCAAGGTCTGCAACACCCGGAACGCCGGTGAAGTCCTGCATCAGCACCCGCGCAGGACGAAAAGCAATTTCTTCAGCAGCAGGCGCATTATCCGCCCAGCCAGCCAGCGCTTTGATGTCCGCAGCTTTGACCGTATTGTCGTCTTCAAAGCGCAGCAGGTTTTCCAGCAGAATTTTCAGCGTCACTGGCAGGCGACTGATGTCCCCCAACCCTTGCGCCTCTGGCAGGCTGTAATATTCGTATTGTTTGTTGCCGACGCTCAGCGTCTTCTTGGCGTTAAAAGTGTTCAGGCTCATAGATGTCGCAGTTGATGATGGAAATTGGGGGCGTATTTTGCCTGAAAGTGCCGCCGCGCCCAACTGCTTTTCCGCAGACGTGTTCTAAATCAGTTGGTTGCTGATTCGCGGTACAGGTGTTCCCCACATCGCCAGCAGTAAGATGCTTCACGCAGATGGCCTTCAGCGGAACAGTGTGGACAGGTGCGGGTATTGGCTGCCCGGCGATTGGCTTCGTTGAGCTCCAGGGTGACGATGCCTGTCGGCACCGCAATAATGCCGTAACCCATAATCATAATCACCGTCGCCAGAGCCCTGCCCAATGGGGTTTGCGGCGTGATATCTCCATAGCCAACAGTGGTCATGGTGGAAACAGCCCAATAGATACTATTGGGAATACTGCTGAACCCGCCGCCCCTGCCTCCTTCAATAAGGTACATAAAAGAACCGAATATCACGACCAGGCAGAGCACAGAGGCGACAAACACTGTGATCTTACGGCGGGATGCCACCAGCGCCTGGGTAATCAGCTCGGCCTCACCGACATAGCGCACCATGCGCAACACACGGAAAATACGCAAAACCCGCAGCACCCGGATGACCAGAAAATACTGCGACCCGGCGAACCACAAGCTCAGATAGGTGGGCAATATACAGATGAGATCGATAACGCCGTAAAAACTACGGGCGTAGCGCCAGGTGTTCTGGATGCACCACAGACGTAATGCATATTCCACTGTAAAGAGCAGCGTGAACACCCATTCTGCAACGTACAACCAGTCGCCATAAACAGCGTTAATTGCGTCAACGCTGTCAAGCATGATGGCGCCAACACTCAACAGAATCAGCACAATGACAGCCATATCAAAGGCTTTGCCAGCAGGGGTGCCCGCCTCAAAGATAACCGTACGTACTGAGTCTTTTGTCCAAACCATATGCGCTCGCCAGAGTCAGTCTGCAGCTACCGTTCGATGTCCTAACAGACAAGCAAAACGCCGCCGGTTTAACCCTGGCGGCGTCGCTGTTGCGTTATCGCAGGATCAGTTTAGCGCGTTGTCAGCTGACCTTCACATCTATCTTCTTCGCGACTTCGGGTGCACGTTTAGCAATACTCAGATAGAGCACGCCATCTCGGCTTTCGGCAGAAATCGCTTCTGGATCCGCATCCTCGGGCAGACTGAAACTGCGTTCGAAGCGACCATAGCGGCGTTCAGTGCGGTGTGTGCGGTTATCCTCATCAGACACTGCTGAACGTCGTTCTCCACTCACATTCAACACGCCTTCGGCGACCGTTACAGACAGGTCTTCCGCTGCCACCGCAGGCACTTCCACATCAATATGATAGCTTTCCACAGATTCGCGGATATCCACCAACGGTAACCAATCAGCGCGGCGCACAGGTGAACGCGACTGCTCCAGAGAACGGACCAGATGATCAAACTCGCCAAATGGTGTCCATCGTACTAGGTTCATGATTTACTCCTTTGTATCAACATTTACCCACACCGGATTTATGGTGGTGTTCATCGCACTTCCAAGATCTTGAAATAAATCAGTTAGGCCCAATGACCTTTTATTCGGACTTGAGATAAGCCACCAGGAGCTCCCATGACCACCATGACCTCAGAAGAAAAACAGCAATTTCTTGCCGACCTGCACGTCGGTGTAATCGGCATCAACGAACACGACCGAGGACCTTTAACCGTACCGATCTGGTACAGCTATGTGCCCGGTGGAGACGTCCAGGTGATTACTGGCAGCAGCTCGCGCAAAGGCAAGCTTCTGCAGTTGGGCAGTCGCGTCAGCCTGGCGGCACAAGCGGAAAGCCTGCCGTATAAATACGTCAGCATCGAAGGTGAAGTGACTGCCATTGAACCGGCTGACATGGCATCTCTGACCGCAATGGCCATACGTTATCTGGGAGAAAGCCAAGGCAAAGCTTACGCAGACAACAGCGGTGTCCAGGGTCAGATCACTGTATCTATCACGCCGAAGCGTTGGCTGGCAGTGGACTACGGCAAGATGGAGTAAGCCAGAGCGGGCGGCTACTCTTCCTTGACAATGCGATATACACTTTCGGCCGCCTGAGGCACCCGGCTGTCTGCAAAACGTTTCGGCAGAGAACTGGTCACAAACGTGTCCAACAACTCCACTTCGCAGCGCCCACCATACAGAGATTCAACTTCATCAAAGTCCACCGCATGTGGCGGGCCTGATACCAGATCCTGATCGTATTCGAAGGTAATCAACAACATACGCGTGCCATCGGGCACGATCCGCAGCAGGTGATCAACATAGCGAAAGCGCATGTCCGGCGGCAGCGCCACCAGAGCACCGCGATCAAACAGACCCTGGACGTTACTCAACAGCGGCGCTGTGAGATCAAAAAAATCGCCTTGATAGATCGTCGCGCCGCGACCGATTGAGCGCTCAAACCGCTCTACCGCGCCCACTTCCGGAGTTTCGTTACCCTCAGCAAAAAAACCGGCAACAGCCAGGCGGGCCAGCTCTACGCCAACAACCGGATAACCTTGCGTTTCAAACCAGCGCATATCCAGCGACTTGCCGCACATCGGCACAAAAACCTCAGCACCTGGCGGCAACGCCAGTTCAGACCAGTATTGCAGCAGCAGCTCGTTATGCGCCGGCTGATGGAAACCAATTTCGTTTTTCTGCCAGAGATCGAGCCAGAATTTTTCACGCATAAACTCTCCCCAGTTTCAGCGCAAGACCGGGTCAGCATAACGCAAATGGCTATATTTATCAGAGGCTTGGTGGCACTCCAATTGCGGCCCCTGCATTACGCGGATCGGCGGCGCCATAGAGCCCTTTCTCGTCCATCATTACGGAGTTGGCATCGCCAATTCCGCGGCCGAGGAAACTGGGAATGGGCACCAGCTCAGTATGCCCCATGGCTTCCAACAGACTTTGAGTGTCGGGTGAAAAACCACGCTGCTCCACAACCACCCGAGGTGGCTGCCATTGATGATGAAAACGTGGGCTGCCGACAGCGTCCGCGACATCCATGCCGTGATCAACCACATTGAGGATCACCTGCAGTGTTGTGGTGATGATGGTGCTGCCGCCAGGCGAGCCGGTGACCAGCAGAGGCTTACCATCTTTGAGGACTATGGTCGGTGTCATGGAGCTCAACATGCGCTTGCCTGGCTCAATGGCGTTAGCACGCCGACCCAGCAGACCATAAAAATTCGGCGTGTCTTCTTTTGCAGAGAAATCATCCATTTCGTTATTGAGCAGAACCCCGGTGCCAGCCGCCACCATTTTGGCGCCGTAAGACAGATTCAGGGTGGTGGTGTAAGCCACCGCATTACCCGCCGCGTCGATAAAAGAAGCATGAGTTGTTTCCGGGCTTTCCACCAGGATCACACCCGCGCCGATATCACTACTGAGACTGGCTTGTTTAGGATTGAAATCAGCAAAGCGCTGAGCCGCATAACTCTTGCTGGTTAAGGTTTTTACCGGCACCGGATAAAAGTCCGGATCACCCAGATATTCAGCGCGGTCTGCATAGGCCCGCCGTTCTGCTTCAATCATCGCGTGAATGCTGGCGGCGCTGCCAAATCCGTTGCCCTTAATATCCTGGCTCTCAAGCATATTCAGCATCTGCACCACCAGCACACCACCCGACGAGGGTGGTGGCATGGAGACAATATCATGCCCCCGGTAGGTCCCCCGCACAGGCTCACGCCAGACAGAGCGGTAGCTCTTAAGATCTTCATGGGTGATCAGACCGCCGTTGGCCTGCATTTCTGCAACCAGCAGATCAGCTGTTTTGCCGGCATAGAAACCTTCGCGACCGTGTTTTTTGATCCGCTCCAGCGTATCAGCCAGGTCACTCTGCTTGAACACTTCCCCAACACGCCAGGGCTCCCCATCGTTACCGAAGACAGCCATGCTGGCGGGATAACGGGCAAAATCTTTCTGCCGGCGGGTAAAGCTGCCGGCAAGGTCCTGATCCAGGCGTATGCCCTTGCGCGCCAGCCTGATGGCGGGTTCGATAACCTCTGCACGGGTCATCGAACCATACTTCTCCAGCACCGCCAGCAGGCCGTCGACACTACCGGGCACCCCGACCGCCAGGTGTGATGCCGTCGATAACCCTTTAATGACCTCACCCTGCTCGTCAAGAAACATATCTTTGGTGGCAGCCAGCGGCGCACGTTCACGGTGGTCATTCGTCACTACTGTGCCATCAGCAAGATGGATAACCATGAAACCGCCGCCGCCGAGGTTACCCGCTGACGGATAGGTCACAGCCAGCGCAAAACCTGTGGCAACCGCCGCATCAATAGCATTACCCCCTGCTGCCATGATGTCAGCGCCGACCTGAGAGGCCCATTCGGAACGGCTGGCTACCATGCCTTTCTCACTGAACACCGGCGCGCCGGTAGCAGCAAACGTATGCGGGCTGGTTATAAGAAAAACAGCAACAACAACACTAAAGCACAGCGACTTCATGAACTTCCTTGATCTACGTATAGTGACAGCAACCTGGATTGTGACGAATGCCGCCGACACCAGCAAGGTCGGCCTACCCTATGACAACAATTAACATAACCGGCAGAGCGGATTACACCAGACTCAGACGCCTCGCTCTGGCCGCACAGGGTTTGCACCAGAATGCAGCTTTCGGCAGAGGACTGGATGGTGCGCGCCAGTCTATCGGTCACCTGGGTTATGTGCAGATCGACACCATCAGCGTGGTGGAGCGTGCCCATCACCATGTGTTTCGCTCCCGTGTGCCCAATTTCAGCACTGCCATGACTGAACAACTGTTGCAGCACCGGGACATATTCGAGTACTGGCACCACGCAGCAGCGTTTCTACCGATAGAGGACTATCGATTTTCTCTGCCCTACAAGCAGGCTATTACCAACGGTAAAATTCACTGGTTCAAAAATCCCGACACAAAACTGATGAGCAAGCTCAAGCAGCAGATCGCAACCGAAGGCCCGCTGCGCTCACGAGACCTTGAAGACACCAAGACCAGCCGTCAGGGATGGTGGGACTGGAAACCAGCGAAACGCGCTCTGGAACAGTTGTACATGCAGGGAGAGTTAATGGTGGCCGCCCGTGAGGGATTTCAGAAAACCTATGACCTGCCTGAGCGGGTGCTGCCGCGGCACATTGACACCACCACACCCGACATGGATGAATTTGCAGAACATGTTGTTGCACAGCAGCTGCGTAGCCATGCGCTGGTCTCCCTGAAAGGATTAACCTATCAGCGTCGCAACCCCGCTCTGCGACAAGCTGTCAAACGTCACATCGAAAAAAAGTTACACGCCGGCGATCTCGATCAGCTGGTATTAAACAGCGGCGAAGTTTTCTTCAGCCACCCTCATGTTATGGACGCACCAACACCCAGGTTCAGCCGCGCAATCACAATTCTGTCACCTTTCGACAATGTCCTGATACAACGCGAACGTCTGAAGTCCATTTTTGACTTTGACTATCAGATTGAATGTTACGTACCCGCTGCAAAAAGAAAGTTTGGCTACTTCGGCCTGCCGTTACTGTACCGCGATCAGTTTATCGGGCAGGTGGACTGCAAAGCACACCGCAAGGACAAGCGTCTTGAGGTTAAAGCTGTGCAGTTCTGCAACCCGAAACTGGACCCTGCCGAAACAGGCCAGGCCTTTGCCACCGCTGTAAAAAACTTTGCCGACTTTCAGGATTGCGAGCGCATTGAACTGGGAGCGGTTTCTCCAGAACCCTACGCAGAACCCATTCGCCAGGCACTGCAACAGCTCTAACCAGTAACTACGCTGTTGGAAAAGGAATTTTCGACAAATCAGATATCTGCTCTAAACTTAATGCAAAGGGATGTTTTAACCGGTCATGGATGACCTTATACACCGCCCTGTGAACACTTGATCTGTTCAGCGTCCATATAGTTTCAGTTCACTCATCATTCAGTCTTACAGCGCTATCGTGACTTCACCCTAACGGTATGACTCAGGAGAAGACATGAAAACTGTACTCACAACCACACTGCTCATCAGCGCCCTTACGGCCACCGCTCCAGCGATTGCCGGAGAAAACAACTGGCAAGGCAAAAAAGCCAAGGCCCACAGTGAGCAACACGAGAAGCATTACTACAATCAATACGAGCGCGACTACAAAAAAGGTTATACAAACAAATTCAAACACGGCAGGGAAAACAAGCATGCGCACAGAGATGTAATCCGACTGGATATTCCGGTTGCGATCCGAGGCGATGATCGCGTTCATCTACGCCGGCTGGTGAACCGCCACAGCAACTTGAACCTGAACAACTATCGACTCAAGAAAGTTGTGGTCAACAACTACGCACGCCGCTCTGCCGCAGCCAAACTGATTGTCGGCGATCGTGTCAGCAGCGTTCAATGGTTGCAGCGTGGTAGAAACCATATCGCAGCTCCGCGTCGAAGTGACGGCCGCTGGGTGCTGGGTGTTAAAGATGCGCGCATCGACAACATCCGCGTGGTTCTGGAACCCAAACCTTATATGGCGAGCCGCCCCGGCAAATACCAGCAGCCCTGGTTCAGTGACCGTCGCGACTGGAACGATACATGGACACGCAATCAGCGCGCCTGGCGCTAAGAAGAGACCCGAAGCCGCCACTACAGGCCTATGGCCACCTCGCTACCATGCTGACTACGCATGCGCAGGTGGCCATCTTTTTCGAACAACAGCAGACCATCCAGAAATTCCACCTCAGGGCCCTGCACAGATTCAAGACCTACGCCATGACGCAATGTATACACAGACAGATCATGACTGACACAAATGTCCAGGTGGCGCCCCTGGACCGTATTGTCTCTCAACTTGCCAACCAGCGCTCTGAGTATCATTTTAACCGCGAGTGGCGCGGGCATCATGGCATCCTCCGGCACCTGATCCGCAAACCACTGTTCAACGTAGTTAGGCAGTCCCTGCGCAAGACTCAAACCTTTCCACATCTTCTGCTGATCCAGCGCATAAAAAACACCCAACGCCTCAACCGCCCGCACCCGCGCTCGTTGGCCACCGCCTTGCGCGTGCGCGTGCAGGACAAGCTCCGCTGTTTCCATACACCGCTCTGGCGGACTGGCGTAACCGCGCAACCGCACATCTTTCGGCAGAAGGCTGCCAAATCGCTGGCTGAGCCCACGGCCATGATCCGTGAGCGGATTGAGCAGATCATGAATCTCGCGATCGAAGGTGCGGGCCGAGTGGCGCATGAACAGCACCCCCCGCTCTACACCCTCGCCGTAGGCGTCACAAACCATCTGCGTGGTGCTTAAGCCATAGTGATGATGCGCTTCTGCGCCGCGTGTATCTGCGGTAGCGCTTTTGCCAGCCTCGTTGGTTTTCTCCTCCACTGTACCTTTGCCCTCTCCGTTTACTTTAGCCAACCAGAACAAGTATCTTAGCCTGGCACACTGATGATAAGAACTACTAGGGAATCGGGGAGATTCAATATGGGCAGATTAGAGGATCGTGTTGTTGTGATTACCGGCGCAGGCCGCGGTATTGGTAAAGAGATAGCACTCCTGGCGGCAAGAGAAGGCGCCAAAGTTGTGGTGAACGACCTGGGCAGTAATACCGATGGATCCGGCGGCGGCAACATTGCTGACGAAGTGGTCAACGAGATCAAAGCCATGGGCGGTGAAGCCGTTGCCAATACCGAATCCGTTGCTGAAGTCAGCGGCGGTGAATCCCTGGTGCAGACGGCACTGGACGCATTCGGCCAAATGGACGTGCTGGTGAACAACGCCGGCATCCTGCGCGATAGAACCATCTTTAAAATGGAAGAGTCGGATTGGGATGCGGTGATTGCCGTCCACCTGAAAGGACACTACTGCTGCTCTCGACCGTTTGCGAATTACATCCGTGAAAACAACCATACCGGCGCACGAATTATAAATTTTTCAAGCGTTTCAGGCCTGTATGGCAACTTCGGCCAGGCGAATTATGGCGCTGCCAAAGCGGGCATTGCAGGCTTCTCGAGGGTACTTGCACTGGAACTGGCAAAGTATGCCTGTACCGTCAATACCATATCTCCCGGCGCCTTGACCCGCATGACCATCCCGCTGCGGGAGAACCGCGGCGAAAGTGTCGAGCAGGAAGATCTTGAGGCTGGCGGACCACAGCACATAGCGCCAATCGTGGCGTGGCTGGCCAGTGAAGCATCTGCGGGTATTACCTCTGAAATATTCCATACCGCACGCGGCGGAGTGGCCATCATGCAACAACCGCTGGTGATCAAACAATTCAAGAAAACCAGTGGCGTCTGGAGTCTGGATGAACTGGATCAGGTTGTGCCGCAACTGGTTGCCGCTCGGGCGGCGAACATTGAAGCGGCAAAGGATCAGACGACGATCGTCGACTGACCCCCCACGCCAGGCTGGGGAAACTGCAACGTGACTGTTGTCCCCCTACCTGGCGTACTGTCGATCATTATGTCCCAACCACACTGATCACAGATCCGTTTGGCGATGGGTAACCCCATACCATTGCCGCTTTTCTTAGTGGAGAAATTGCGATCAAAAACGCGCTTCTGATCCTCAGGCTTGATACCACTTCCTGAATCCTGAATCGTCAACCGCGGGCCTACCAACTCCAGTGAAATTTCGCCTGACGACGTGTGCTCAATGGCATTACGCAGAAGATTGCTGATCACCATGGTGGGCAGACTTGGCGCAACGTTCTGTATCAGGGGTTGATCTGCGGAGAACGTGATGCTCACCGACTCAGTCTCATGCAGCGATCTGAAGTCCTCAACCAGTTGGGCTGCGATTGCATTAATCTCACAGTGCTCCTTTCCTGCAGTGAGCTTTTCTGGTTCCCGTGCCAGAAACAGCAACGCTTCAATAAACTCCAGCATCTCTCGACTGGCGCGCTGAATACGCCGCACAGCGCGCGCAGAAACTTCACCCAGTTCCGGCTGTTCCTGCAATACGTCTGCCGCACCCTGCATCACTGCCAGTGGTGTGCGGAGTTCATGGCTGGCGGCAGAAGTAAACGACTGTTCACGGGCCACAAAGCCATCCAGGCGTAGCATGAAGCGATCAAAAGCTTCTGCGATATCAGATACTTCAGCACCCTCAAACTCGCCAGCTATGCGCACCTTGCGCTCGTCCGGCTGTAATTGTGTTACGCGCTCCGCAAGGCGCGTGACAGGGGCGACTATCTGCTGTGAAGCCCAGCTCCCTACCCAGATAGCCGCAGCAGCGACGATGAGCACACCAAACACCAGAATCAGGATCATTTCCCACTCCCGGATTTCCCATTCGGTAATGTCGTAAGAAATATAAAAACGTTCCCCATCGTCTTCTGCGACCAGAATTTGATAACGTCGATCGTTGATTAGCACGCTGTGATAATCGCCTGGCTGCAGGACGGCCAGCTGCCTGGGGAGGTCGGGGTTATCCTGCCCCACGTAGCCTTTCACTAGAGCACTTTCCACCCTGGCCACATGGGGGGTTTGATGAGACAACCTCACCAGGGTGTGGAACTCGTCCCGAACCTGCCGCTCAAGCACCACATCTTCCAGGCCTTCATTGGAAAGGTAAACGCCAAACGCTAGCAGCGTGCTACCGATACTGGTCACCATGAGAATTGCCAGCGTAATACGTACCCGCAGATTGGTGCGTTTTCTGTTGATGTTCATTATTCAGGTGCTGCCAGTCGATAACCCGCACCATGTACAGTCTGGATGAGTTTCACGGGCCATGGTTTATCAATGATGCTGCGCAACGTGTGGATGTGCGCGCGCAATACATCACCCGCAGGTGGATCATCTGCCCAGAGGGCATATTCCAGTTCACGTCGCGGCACCACTCGATGAGAATTTTCCATCAGCAATTGCAGCAACTTCCTCATCGTCGGGTTCAGTTCAAGGACAGTACCGCTACGCTTGGCTGTCAGCGTATCGGGATCGAATTCAAGGTCGGCCACGCGGATGACACGAAGGTTTGAGTGGCCCATCTGGCGCCGATGCAGCGCGCGCAGGCGAATTTCCAGTTCTTTCATCGAAAATGGTTTAACCAGGTAATCATCCGCCCCCGCTTCAAAGCCGACTACCTTGTCCGCAAGCTGGTCCCGGGCAGTCAGCATCAGCACAGGGGTTGACCGTTTGCCTTCCTGACGGAGCTTACGGCAGAGGGTGACGCCATCCATCGCCGGAAGCATAAGATCAAGAACGATGACGTCATAGTCTTCGGTCAGTGCCAGATGTAAGCCAGTGATGCCGTCTGCCGCGAAATCCAGCGAATGTCCTCTGGGTTGCAGGTAGTCACCGATATTTTCAGCAATGTCTCGATGATCCTCGACAATTAGTACGCGCATGCCAGCTCTCTTTTCCGATCGTGATGGACTTCCCGGGACTTCAGCATTACCGGCCCCGGCTCACCGCCATGTCAAGTAAATGTAAAAGAAATGTCAATGAGGATTCTCCACGAGCAACAGGCGATCAACCACCACCAGTAACCCTCAGCAACGCAACAGCTCAACGCCTGTATTTCCAAAGGCTTTAACGTCTTCAAACACAATATTTAGAATTTGGTGACATTTTCATGACAAGTCTCAGGTCAGCATATCTATGGTTGCTCATGATCCTCTACAGGCAAAGGAAAACTGGATGAAGACACATTCGCGGGAGACGTTGCAAACACACTTCGCCTTGCCGAAAGTGTTAGGATTGATGCTGACTGTACTCCTCATTTTACTGACGATGACAGCACCGATCGTCCACGCAGAAGGCGAGGCGGTATCAATCCATGAGCACAATCTTTTAAGTGAGGAAAAATCTCTCTCGCTGAGCCAGGTACTGGAAGAGACCCTGGCACGCTTCCCATCCACAATTGAACTGCACGCACAAGCCGCCGAGGCTCAGGCCTGGCGCTCGCGCGGCCGACACTGGCTGGCTGACTCACCCGCTTTAACGTTTCGTTATCAAAGCGATCGTTGGGGTGACAATAATCGCCTGGACGAATATGAAGCAGGTCTGGAACTACCGCTGTGGCGATGGGGTGAGCGCACCGCCACGCAATCGTTAGGCAAATCCATGACGGACACAACTGACGCTCACATCACCGCGCTTCGCTGGGAAGTCGCTGGTCAACTGCGCCATGCGCTATGGGCTATGGCTGCAGCGCAGAACCGGCTGGTCCAAGCTGGCACTGAGTTGGAACACTCTTCGCAGCTGACCAAGTCGGTCACACGTCGCCACGAGTTAGGCGACGTGCCGGAAAGCGACCTGCTCTTAGCCCACAACGCCCTGCTCGAAGCACAAACCCGGCATGTCAATGCAGAAGCGTCCTTGCTCGATGCTGAACGCACATACCGCAACCTGACAACTCTACGTCAACGACCAGCATTTATTACAGAACCCCTCAGCCCGCTGAAAAGTATTGATGCAAATCACCCTGCCCTGGTACTGGCGAACACTCGCCTTGAACGGGCCCAGGCCAACCTTCGCCTCACTGAAAAAAAAGCTAAAGGCAGCCCAAGGCTGCTGATTGGACCTCGACGTGAGCGTGCAAGCTTCAGTGATGAATTTGAAAACAGCATCGGCATGACCCTCACCGTTCCCTTTGGTGGCGCCGCACACACCCGCACTGAAACGACGGGCGTTGCGCGAGAAGTTGCAGCAGCTCAAGCAGCCCGCGATCGCACAGTGCGAACACTTGACCTGCAGTTGCACGAAGCTGCCCACGGCCTGTCGTTAGCAGAAGAAAACCTCACTTTGGCCACTCAACGCAAAGAACTGGCGACACGTCGCTACAAAATGGCAAGACGCGCGCATGAATTAGGGGAAATAGAACTACTGGATCTGCTGAAGCTGCAAAACGTTGCCCAAGGCGCGCAGCGCGAGGCAACTCAACTGCTGATTGATAAAAAATATCAAACTGCTCTGTATAACCAGGCTGTGGGAGCGCTGCCATGATACGCACAACGGGTTTGATGATTGTACTTGCCGGCATGTTAAACGGCGGTTTATGCCATGCACAACAAGTAGCTATCAGCTCCACAGAAGTTAACAACCTGGGTATCCAGCTCGACAAGCCAAGCCACGCAGGCAGTGTCAGCGCGGTCACAGCCCACGCTCGAGTTATAGTGCCGCCGAGCAACGCACTTATCGCCGGCAGCACTTATTCCGGTCGATTAATTCGTCTGCACGCCGATGTCGGCGACACCGTATCCAGCGGCCAGATACTCGCCGAACTCCAGAGTCCTGACTTCCTCGGGTTGCAGCGTGAGTATCTTGATGCACTGTTCAAACGCAATATGACAACAACGTCTTTAAACCGCGACAAGCTGCTATTCAAAGAAGGTATTGTGTCAGAGCGTCGCCTGCAGGAAACAGAGTCAAACAGCAGGACGGCAAACGCCCAGCTGAACGAACATCACCAATTGTTATTGCTTGGTGGTATGCAGGCAGCTGACATCCGCCTGCTATCAGACCAACAGCGCTTGCACGATACTGCATTTATACGCACGCCAATAGGCGGTGTTGTCACTGAGCGAATGGCCGCAATCGGCGAGCACCTTGATGCGATGGCGCCAGTCTTGCGCATTGTCGATCTGAGTACTTTGTGGCTTGAAGTTGAGATTGCCCAGGAGGACCTGAAGTCAATTACCCCCGGCATGACGGTGACGGCGGATAGCGACGACACCTTCGGTGCAACAATCGAGTCGATCGGACGAAGTGTTGACCGACGAACTCAGACAGCAACGCTCCGCGCGAAGGTGGACCGTGGCGCAGAGTATCTGATGCCCGGTCAGTTTATCGCCGTGAAGGTGCGCGCCGGCGGGGAAAACAGAGATCTCCTGTCTGTGCCTTTGAACGCCATTATGCGCAGCGGCACATCTAACTATGTATTCGTTCGTACTGATAAAGGTTTCGAGGCACGTCCTGTCACCCTGTCTGGTGTCAGCCGAGGTAGCGCGTTTATATCCCAGGGAATCGATGCCGAAACGCCACTGGCAGTTGCGGGTGTTGCCGCGCTGAAAAGTCTCTGGGCCAGCCAGCAAGACGCAGACTGATGATGCCACAACTGATTGGATTCGCTTTAACCCAACGCGTCCTGATACTGCTGTTCTCAGCACTGCTGATAGGGATTGGTTACAACGCGTTTCGCGAGCTGCCTATCGATGCATTTCCAGATGTTTCACCAACCCAGGTGAAGATTATAGTGAAGGCACCTGGTATGACACCCGAAGAAGTGGAAAGTCGCATCACAGCACCTATTGAGGTTGAACTACTGGGCATTCCCCAACAGGTAATGCTGCGATCCATCGCCAAATACGCGCTATCAGATATTACCGTGGACTTCGCCGAAGGCACTGATATCTATTGGGCACGCCAGCAGGTTGCTGAACGTCTGAGCGGGGTTTGGGATAGCCTTCCGGCCGACATCGAAGGTGGCCTCGCGCCAATGACAACCCCCTTGGGGGAAATGTTCATGTTCACCGTCGATGGTGAAATCAGTCTGACAGAACGTCGCACGCTGCTCGACTGGGTAATCCGGCCAGCGCTCCGCACTGTCCCTGGCGTTGCCGATGTTAACTCTCTGGGCGGCTACGTCCGCAGCTTCGAGGTGATACCCGACCTGGTCCGGATGGCAGCAAAAGGTGTAGATCCGCTGATGCTTGAGGCAGCACTGTCTCAGAACAACAGAAACGACGGCGCCGGGCGCCTGCAGGAGGGTGAAGAAACCTTATTGATCCGTTCTGAAGGCAGCATTAAGACCCTTAGCGATGTCAGCGCCATTGTGGTCAAGATGATTGATGCCACTCCCATTACGATAGGTGATGTCGCAAACGTTAAAATCGGCGCAATCACCCGCTACGGGGCTGTTACCCAGGATGGGCAATCTGAAGCTGTACAGGGTCTGGTCCTGGGTCTACGAGGCGCAAACGCAGATGAGGTTGTTAAAGGCGTACGCAGGAAACTCGATGAAATCGCCTCCGCATTGCCTGTCGGCGTGAGCATTAACGTTTTCTACAATCGCGGTGATCTGGTGCAACGCGCCGTCACTACGGTTGCGCAGGCTCTGGCAGAAGCGACCGTGCTGGTCATTGCACTGCTGATCCTTTTCCTGGGTAACCTGCGTGCAGCACTCACCGTTGCCTTGGTTTTGCCCCTTGCCGCACTCATCACTTTTATCTTGATGCGGCAGTTTGGCATGTCTGCAAATCTGATGAGTCTGGGCGGCCTGGCCATAGCCATTGGCATGCTGGTGGATGCCGCCGTTGTTGTGGTTGAAAACATAACCACTCAGCTGGCTGATACCCGGAAATCCCAGCGGCTGCCTCGACTCCACCTTATTTATCGAGCGGTGCGCGAAGTGTCTGTACCGGTGGCATCCGGCATCGGTATTATTATCGTTGTATTTTTACCCCTGCTGACACTGCAGGGACTCGAAGGAAAACTGTTTTCCCCGGTTGCACTGGCGATCGTTTTTGCACTGGCTGGCTCGCTGCTGCTGTCTTTCACCGTGATTCCAGTGCTGGCATCTTTTTTACTTGCGCACACACAACACGAGGAACCCTGGTTGCCTCGCAAACTTCAGAGCCTGTATGAACCCGCGCTGCGCTGGTGTCTGGATCATGCACGATGGATGGTGTCTGGCGCACTGCTGGGACTGATCGCTGCGCTTTTCGCGTATTCATTCATCGGCAAAACATTTATGCCAACCATGGATGAAGGTGACATCATCGTGCAACTCGAAAAGCTACCATCCATTACCCTGGAAGAGTCGGTTAATCTCGATTTGAGGATTCAGGCAGCGGTTCTTAAAGCAGTCCCGGAAGTCACGCACATGGTTGCACGCGTTGGCTCAGACGAAATAGGTATGGACCCAATGGGGCTGAACGAAAGCGATGTCTTCATGGTCCTGCGGCCAAAATCAGAATGGCGCATGACGACCAAAGCGGAGCTGATTGATGCAATCCGCGTGGTGCTGGATGGTTTCCCGGGCGTGGCCTACGGCTTCACCCAGCCCATCGAAATGCGTACGTCAGAAATGCTGACCGGCGTGCGCGGAGATGTTGCCGTCAAATTGTTCGGTACAGATCTCGAAATCCTTAATGATAAAGCCATCGAAATTGCAGCCGCCCTGCGCACAGTTGTCGGCAGCGAAGACGTCTTTGCCAGTCAGAACGAAGGGGTTGTTTATTTCGAACTTAGAGTTGATCGACTGGCTGCAGGCCGTCTGGGGCTCAGCATCGAAGCCCTGCAACGCATGCTGCGAACACAATTTGAAGGTGTCACGCTGGGGATAGTACAGGAAGGTGTGCAGCGCACCCCGTTGCTGATTCGCGCCAGCAGCGAAGTCCGCTCTTCTCCGGCCGAATTCGCGAGCCTGCCTATCGTTCTGGCGGACGGTAGCAGTGTACCGTTGAAGTCCGTGGCGCAGATTCACCGTGTCGAGGGCGTGGTTGCTGTCGGACGGGAGCGCGGTCAGCGTTTCACCGTCGTGCGCAGCAATGTCACCGGTCGCGATCTGGTTGGGTTTGTCGACGATGCAAAGGCAATAGTTTCCCGAGACGTTGTGCTGCCCACGGGTTACTACCTGGAGTGGGGTGGGCAATTCGAAAATCAACAGCGGGCGGCAGCACGCCTGTCGGTGGTGGTACCGGTGTCCATTGGTCTTGTATTCCTGCTTCTGTTTTCCACGTTCCGTTCGGTGCGACAGGCGTTACTGGTCCTGACAAATATTCCTTTTGCATTGATTGGGGGTATTTTTGCACTGGCGCTGACCGGCGAATATTTGTCGGTACCGGCTTCGGTTGGTTTCATCGCGCTGCTGGGGATCGCCGTATTAAACGGCGTCGTTATGGTGTCATATTTTAATCAACTACGCGCACAAGGGCTGGCCATGTCTGAGGTAGTCATCGAAGGTGCAAAACGACGCCTCAGGCCAGTGCTGATGACCGCGAGTATCGCTGCGTTTGGCCTGGTGCCGCTGCTTTTCGCCAGCGGTCCGGGTTCTGAAATTCAGCGCCCTCTGGCAATTGTGGTCATTGGTGGCCTGATTACCGCTACTGCATTGACGCTCATTATCCTACCCATTCTTTATCGACGTTTTGGTGAACCGGAGGCGACTAAATGAGATTAGACGAAGTTGAGGAAGCGCTGGTGGTTTTCGACCTGCCACGCAATCTCGAAGAAACAATGATCGACTGGCTGCTACTACGTGACCATGATTCAGGCTTCACCAGTTTCGAAACACGTGGACACAGCAGTTGCCATAAAGGTCTGACACCCGCCGAACAGGTCAGTGGACGCGCGAAACGGATTCAATTCGAAGTTCATATCCCCATGTCCGAGGTTGAATCCCTTCTATCCGAGGCACAGACCAGTCTGCCAGCAACAGACGTTCACTATCGGGTACTGCCCGTCATCCGTGGCGGCCATCTCGCAACCCGGGAGACGCTAGAGGGCTGGTCACCCGCTTAACCCAAACGCGCACCAAGACTGTCACTCAAGCGCTTGAACAACCCGAACAACTGCTCACTCTGACGAACCTCAGGGCGCGCGACCAGCCACACATCCATATCAATCGATTCATCCGAAGTTAAAACAGACACCCACTGCGGTTCCTGTTCGGCCATCCAGCAGGGAAACGATGCAATACCCCAGCCCGCCCTGACCGCCGCACGTTTGCACGGCACTGAGTCGCTGCGCATGACAATTTGACGCTCATCAATCCTAAGGCCCCGTTCGGCGGCGCCGCGGCGCAGGTAGTCCCGGGTCAAACCGTCAATAAATCGGTGCTGGCTGATGTCTTCCAGATGCAGCAATCCATGTTTTGCCACGTAATCCTGATGAGCGTAGACGCCGATGCGCAGACTGCCCAGCTTTTTACACAACAACTCCTGTTGGCTGGGCCGGACATTACGCAACGCCAGATCCGCATCTCGTTGCAATAGATTGACCAGATCATTGGTCACCACCATGTCTACTGACACCGGCCGATCCGCGTTGTCATGCATCTCCTCAAGCAATACTTCCGGAAGAAGTTCAGCAAGGACGTCTGCTACCGATATGGTCACGCGTTGCAGAGGCTGCTCACGCATACCGTCAGACGCAGATTTAAACGCCAGCGCACTGTCGTGCATGACCCGGGCGGCAGCATCCAGACGCACGCCGGCCTCATTTAACAGCAGGCCCTGGGCTGTCCGGCTGAACAGCGACATGCCAAGGCTTTCTTCGAGTTGTTGAATATGTCTTGCAGCAGTTGGATGTGTAATGCCAATGGCACGGGCACCTGCAGCCAGGCTGCCACCCTGCCCCACTGCTACAAAAGTCCGCACAAGATTCCAGTCAAGATCAAAAGCAGGATGCCCGTTCATACAGACCGCCCTTTAACTTTCAGATTAAGTGGGTTGGATTGGCACATGACCACCCCCCTGTAAATTATTGCAATAAGCATTCTACGTTACTTATGTTCCCTATTTTACTTTGTTACGTTACCTTAGGTAACACTCAGTATCAATTTAAACCCAAAACTTCTCCCAAGACCCCCAAAGGACTACAAAATGAAAAAATCAGTATTTATTGCCGCTCTCAGCACCTTCCTGGCTTATGGCGCCGTCGTCGAAGCGCGCACCAGTTCCGATGCTGAAATGCGCGGCTACAACAATTGTGTCAACGCTGCCAAAAAGGAAAGTGAAGGCCTGGTCACCAGCCGTGAATATCTCATCAACAAAGATGGCGCGACCACCGAGTACTTCGTCAACGCTACCCGCTGGGAACAGGGCGAGCGCAACACGATCCGCGTAGCCTGTGAAACGGCACATCGCGGCGCCAAGCTGATCAGCGCAAGCATTGAAGAAGGCCGCTTTGTACCTGAAACATCTCGCGTGACCATCGACGTCGCTGCTAACTAAGCCGTACCGGGACTCCCGGACATGACGCTGGTGGCCGCAAAGGCAGCAGCAGGAAAAAGGCTCGAAGCAATTCGGGCCTTTTTTATTGCGCAATCCAATGCAGGGCCAGCGTCACTGGTGCGAAATCAGAAGAAGTATGTCCAACGCAGATAGAAGCGGCTTCCCCCGCCGGTCGTGACCTGGTTGCCTGCTACCGGGATACCACCAAACTCATCGCCAGCGCGGCCCAGTGTCTGCACCCAACCCACCTGCACACTCTGATGGTCACCGGGATCAAAAGATACCGCAACCTGTAACAAACTGCTGTGGTCCTGCAGGTTAGTAATCAGGGTTGCGCTCTGATTGATCAGTGGATGCCATTCGAAACTGCCGCCCAGCGCCAGATAATGCTGCATCACGTTGAACAGTTCCCCTCGTGCCAATCTATCTAACAGACTCAACGGCAACTCGGCGATTTGCGTGGGCAGCTCATCTACCCCCCAATCGTTGTAAAAGTATTCACCAAACAGGTAGACGTTGCGCTCCCAGGCCATCAGGGTGTAATCAAGGTTTGCGATACCGGATATCTGCCAGCCTTCGTTCTGATCCATGGCCTGACTGCGCACCGCGACCAGATCTGCGCGAAACATCGCCTCCCCCAACGGGCGCCGCATGCTCAAACCGAGCACGTCTTCATCAAAGTGCCTGGCGGCGACCAGTTCCAGTTCTGATGATCCAGCATAGCCATGCCACTTGAACGCGGTACTTGATACCCCACCGCGGACATCGCCATCGACATCTCTGCGCACAACATGTAATAACTGCAGATCACTACCGTTTTCCAACAGATGGTCAACCAGCAGCAGGTCATCTCCGGGTTTGTAATCACGATCAACAACGGTGGGGGAAAAGGGACTGAACAGATCAAGGGGCTGAAATACGATACCGCTACCCCAACTCACCGCCTGACGCCCCGCTGACACGCTCCAATTCCCAGATTGCCACTGCACCGACAGGTGATCCAGGCGATGAAAACTCTGATGCCGTTTACCCTCTTCTATATCCCAGGTCAGATCCGCCCAACGACGCTCATCGTTGGTGACCGTCTGATCCAGCGCCGCATTCGGGTCGCGACCCAACTTGGAAGCATCGCCGCTGAGCAGAACAGTCGAGTGATCGAGGGCAAAGCGCAAAGCGCCAGCCTGGTGGCGGAACATGAGGCGCATGTCGTAGGTCTGATCATACGCGGGTGTTTTATCAATCTGGCGCTGCAGATCATGTTCAGGTAAAAGCGCGGCGCTACCAAACCACTTCAGCCGAACATCTGCATCCAGCGCCTGTGCAACACCGCTCAGAGTGAGCAAAAAAACCAAAGCCAGGCGCTCACACCAGAAGACGGCGCCTGTGGAATTGTTACGCGGTCTGAGCCTGATCATCGTGTTCGATCTGCCCATCTCGCAAATGCACCTGGCGCTGTGCATAGCTCATGACCATGCTGTCGTGGGTCGCGGTAACAATGGTCATACCTTCTTCATTGAGATGCCGCAGAAGATCTAACAGCTCTTTTGTGGTTTTAGAATCCAGATTGGCAGAGGGCTCGTCTGCGAGCAGAAGAACGGGTTCCGAAACTATCGCACGGGCGACGGCCACACGCTGCTGTTGCCCACCGGAAAGTTCACCGGGCCGACGATTTAACATATCCGCCAAGCCCAGACGATCCAGTACCGCTGTAGCCCGCTCTGCACGCTCAGCTGGCGGCACCCCCTGAAGCTGCATGATAAATTCAACGTTCTCCAGCGCGGTGAGCACCGGTATAAGGTTGTAAGCCTGGAACACAAAACCGAGTTTATGCAGGCGAATTTCCGCCAGCTGGCTTTCAGACAGCTCGCCAAGATCTATGCCATCCAGCGAGACAGTGCCTTCATCCGGGCGATCGAGTCCGCCAACAATATTGAGCAGCGTCGACTTCCCTGACCCGGACGGGCCGGACAAACTGACAAACTCACCGGGATAAACCGTGAAGTCGACCTGGCGAAGCGCGTGTACAGGCACAGATTCCTGTTGATACGTGCGACTGACCCCACGACAGATAACAACCGGTTCAGTCATTGTTTAAGTCCCCCTGACAGATTTTGAGTCTCTCATCTGACATTTTCATCGCCTCAATGCATCCAGTGGTCGTATTTTGATAACACGCCAGGCGGGATAGAAACTGGCCAGAATGCCTAAAATAATACTCATGGCTGCGACCAGAAGAACATCCTGGCCTAACAGCACCGGCTGCAACGTACTGGACACACCAGCCAGCTCAGCGCCCTGCGCATAAGCAGACAGATCTATCCCGTCCGCAACACTCCAATAAATCAGCAGACTGAGGCCTGTACCCAACACAACACCAACGGTCATCAGAATGATGGATTCCAGCACCACCTGCACCAGCACGGTTGAGTTCTGCATACCCAGCGCACGCATCATGCCCAACTCCTTGACCCGCTCCATCACTGCTGCAATCAGAGAATTAACCAGCCCAAAGGTCAGCGCGCCCATCATCAGAAAAAACCAGATAAACAGCGAAGCATCTGCAAATTTGAACATCTCAGCCACTTGAGGATCTAACTCCCGCCAGTCTTTCACCTCCAGACCGGGAAACGCCTGACGCAACGCGGATTTTGCCGCTACGCGCTGCTCTTCCTGATCAACACGCACCGAAAGCTCGGTAACCGCCTGAGTTTCCAGCAGCGTCTGTAACGAATTCAAACCTACAAAAACATAGTTTTTCTCAAGACCTGTGCCGTCGGCATCGTAGGTGCCCGCAATGCGATAACCACGCTCTCTGTTCAGGCCATCAGCCCCTTGTGCGATCAATACCAGCCGGCGCCCCACCGTCGTCTGTAACTGGCGCGCCAGTTCTTTGCCAACCAACACACGGCCATCTTCCGCATCTTGCAGGTATTCGCCTTCAATCTGCGCAGCCCCTATAAAAGAAATAGATTCTTTTGCGGGATCCACGCCAACCAGTTCGATGCCGCGAGTTTCCCGCTCACTCATAATTACGGCCGGTATGCGTAATCGATCAGCCCAACCGACAACCATACCTTCAGGCAGCTGCGGCAGTTGCTCAGTCATCAGCTTAAAGCTGTGTGCAATATTGGGATCATCCGCATAGCCTTCGGCCATAACTTTGACATGGCCGGTGAGATTATTGATGGCGGATTCCAGCATGTCGTACTGATAACCCCGCAACAGCGTGTTTGATGCATTGACGCCGGCCACAGCCACGGCAATAGCAACCAGCAGCATCGCGTTACGCCGCTTGTTACGAAACAGATTTCGAATACTGAGTTGAAAGAGGAGTTTCATACCGTTTGGCTGCCTACTCCGCCCGCAGCGCTTCAACGGGCTTAAGCCGCCGTACGCGAAGCGTCACAAGAAACGCTGCCAATTGCGTACCCATCAGCAGTACAAGTGGCGCCAGCGACATGGCGTACAGCGAAATCGCGGGATACAAACGGCTGGGCATATAGTACTGCTCGGCCATTTCTTCCATCATGCCTAACGGAATACCTTGCAGGGCAGCCCAGCCCACCAGCACATTTGATAACAACAGACCTATGGCGGTACCCACCAGCCACATCATCAACGCCTCGGCCTGTACCTGGCGCATGATGATGCCCGGCCGCGCGCCCAGCGCCAGCAACATGCCAAATTCCCGTGTGCGTTCAAAAATGATCATGATGAACGTGTTCACAACAGAAAACGTCACCAGGATAAGGATGCTGCCGTAAAACAGCACGGCACTGATCCGGTCGAGCTCAATGCCCTGCACCACCTCTGGCAACAGTTGCTGCCAGGTCCGCAGCTCAACATTTTCGGGCAGGGCTCTGCGTAGTCCTTCCAGATTGGGCTCAAGCTCGTCGATGTCATCAAACCCCAGCACCAGCGCATGCACTTCATCGCCTAAACCAAAGCCGTTCTGTACGCTTGCCAGATGCGTGAACACAAGGCTGCGATCCAGTTCTGGTCGTCCGGAGGCGTAAAGACCGGCAATGCTCAGCGCAAGAGCGCCAATACCCCCTTGCTTGCCGGTACCCAGCAGGACCAGCTCGTCACCGAGTTGGGCGCCCAGATTGCGGGCCAGCGCTTCACCGATCAGCACTTCATTTTCATCCACGGGTAAACGCCCCTGAGTGACCCGATCATAGAAGCTGACCAGCTTCTGCTCGACCTCGAAGTCGACACCCACCACCGCGGCACCGAAGGAGCGTTGCTCGACCGATGCCAGGGCATACACCTGTGCTCTCGGTGCTACATGAAGACCGGGCACGTGTGCTAGAGAGCGCATTAATTCAGCAGCAGGCGCGACAGTTTGTTCCAGCTTGCCTTCATCTTCGTACAGGACATGGTTGATTTGCGCCTGACCCACGTAAAACCCCGTCGCGGAAGACACCATGGCATCGTAGGACCCCTGCTGCAGCGACATGCTCAGCGTGACCAACAAGCTGGCAAACGCAATACCACCCGCAGTCAACCAGGTACGGCGTGGATTACGCCAGAGGTTACGCCAGGCCAGGCGCCAGGTTAAGCCTGCATTACCCTTTGATGGGCTCGTGGGCACCGTCAGGACTGCCGTTTGAGTCAAGGTGTCTGTCCAGACTGCAGCGCAAAAACTGTGAACATACGATCTTCCAGGGGCAGATCAAATTCGATGTCCTGATAGCGGACTTCAGTAAACGTATCGGTTTCTTCGAGGTTATTCATACGCATCGCTGTTGCCATGGTGCGGCCACCCAGCTCACCAATCTCAAGGCTGACAAGACGCTTCACCGGCAACATGCTCTGATCAAAGTAAGTGACTTCGAGCATGATGGCATCTTCACGAATGACCATACGCTCTTTACCCCATACCACTGGCGCGTCTTCTTTAGGGATTGCATCGATAGTGAACACGCGTTGCTGTACGCCACCGGCATCAGCTTCACTGAACGTCACGTCCTCCAGCGAAAGATCATAATGGCGCAGGTATTTATCGCTGCGGGACAAATCGTTGTATGAGAAATCTGAACCTGCCCAGCTCTGGGACATCATAGAGCTTGGTAGCCGAATATTACGATTGAGCTTGGGGTTGTAGGTCCACATTTTGTCACCCTGTTTCAACAGAGCGTTACCCGCATCTTTGGCCGGCGCGGTGAACCTGATCAACGAGTCTTCCCGACCGCGGGTCCAGGCCACAAGACTCGAGGTTCGCTGCCAGCTTGGGCGGGAAATGGTCATCGACATTTGTGAATGTGAGGACATACTGCGGGTCAGGTCCAGAGCCTTTTCTACCAGGGCGTAAGGGTCAAATGAGACCTCTTGTTCCTGCTCTTGTTCCTGCTCCTGTACCGCCCCTTGTGCCCGCACAACAGGCAGGCCGAAGACGGCGGTAAGCAGCAGAACACTCAGTGCGGCGCAGATGCTGGGGCGCATAACGATGCCCTTGAACTTGATTGCAATAAATATATACTCAGTCTAAATATTGATCAAGTCAACATATTCGCGAGCTACTTAGTGTCACTCCGCCAACAGAAAAAAAACCAGGCACGGGAAAAGATTGTTGCACAAGCCGACCAGCTGTTTCGCAACCAGGGTATCGCTGCCACAACCACCCGCCAGATAGCTGAAGCCGCAGGCATCAGCTACCAGACACTGTACAACTACTTCCCCTCAAAGGCGCACATTGTGCATGCAATTATTGCCGCTGAAGTCGGCCTGTGGGGAACCGCCGTAGACGGCGTCATCAAAAAATATGACGGCAACCTGCAGCAAACCCTGGCGGACATCACCCAACTGGGGTTCGATCAATTCAACGACGAAAATATGGAACTGTGGCGCCAGGTCAGTGTGGCGTTGTTCAGTCAGAGTTTAGATGAGACTCAGCTCACCTCCTTGAATCAGGTTGCCCACGAACGCTACCACGCGCTGCTCCTGATGGCTCAAGGCATGGGACATCTTGATACACAAGTCGATTTGCACCTGCTGGCACACACACTGTATTGCCTCACGGAATACTCTTTTCTATTGTTTTTCCTGGATCACAATCAGGACAAAGCAGCCGCGATGAGCACCTTGCAGGAACAGATAAACTTAGTGATAAGGCCCTACCAGCGCTGAGCGGATCAGAATCGGCGCGTCAGACTCAAGCCTGCTTCGGAAACGCTGATCAGGTTTGCAGCCCCCTGCCAGACCAGTCTCAAGCCACTTTTCTGCCCGCTCTGTTGATCCCGATACAAACGATCCGTCAAAGCGGCTTGCGGCACATTGCGCAGCCCGGTTACAGCGCTAAACCTTTGGCCATTGGCCCCGTTATATTGCTCGGTATCTACAGCGCTTAGAATACGTTGGCGTTCATCGGCGGATAAGGTATTCCAGGTAGAACTTTCGTCTGCCAGAACGATGCCTGGCAGGCTGCAGAAGATCGCAACACTCAGCAGACACGCTGTTCGAAAGGCTTGATGCAGGCTCATGGGCAATACCCAGACATTCGCTCACATGGAAAACAACGCAGATCCTTGTAGTCAGAGTGAGCCGATAATCAAATGCCTCATCATGAGGCGATACCTGAACTGCCCTTGCGTGAGCCTACTGTAGCGGCGTCAACCTGCCGCTGTTGTGACATTGGTCACAGCAACGATTTCTTTACAAACCTTGCCAAATGCATCGCCAAACCCTATGTTGCCGCGTCCAAAAAACATCGCGAGCATCTACATGTCACTACGTTGGGGCATCCTGGCCACAGGTACCATTGGCAAAACCTATGCAAAAGCACTCATCGACTCTCCCGCCAACACGCTGGTAGCGGTGGGCAGCCGCTCTGCGGAGGGGGCACAGGCATTTGCTGAGACATTTCCTGACCTCGCGCTGACTTGCCATGACAGCTACACCGGCCTGATCAACGACCCACAGGTCGATGCAATCTACATTTCCACCCCGCATACGGAACATGCCGCGTGGGCAATGCGCGCGATGCAGGCTGGTAAACACGTGCTCTGCGAGAAACCCATGGGCCTGAACCATGCTGAAAGTATGGCCATGGTGACTTGTGCAGCCAGACACAACGTTTTCCTGATGGAAGCCTTCATGTACCGCCTGCATCCGCAGATGACAACTATTGTCGATCTCATTCAAAGTGGCGAGATTGGCGAGGTCAGACATATTGAGGCACAGTTTGGCTACCACGCAGCATTTGACGCCGACTCGCGATTGTTTGCCAACCATCTGGCAGGCGGTGGCATCATGGATGTCGGTTGTTATCCAATGTCATTCGCGCGCGCCATCGCGGGTAGCGAGCCTCTCGAAATCGCCGCGCATGGTCAGCTTGGAGCTACCGGCATCGATGAGTGGTCCACCGCTCTGCTCAAGTTTGAAAACGGTCTTGCCGCCCAGATATCAACTGCCGTGTCATTGAATCTGACCAACGAGGCCACTGTCTATGGCAGCAAAGGCAGTATTCATGTTCCCAATCCCTGGCTGCCTTTGGATGACAAGCAGAACTGGTCATTCAGCATAAAACGCGGTTCAGACACCGAGGTTATCAGTGGCCACAGCGAGGGCCTGTATACAATAGAGGCTGATCATGTGGCGCAACACATCGCTGCAGGCAATACACAGTCTGACATTCTGAGCTGGCAGGAGTCTCTTCACAACGCCCTGGCTCTGGATCAATGGCGCAAGGCCATCGGCCTGAGCTACGCAATAGAGCAACCCGGCAGTCACCGCGGACCACTGCTCGGCACGCTGTCAAAACCGGATAACAGAATCTCTCACGGCAGTGTCGCCAACCTGGATAAATCCGTTGCTCGACTTGTTATGGGCTGCGACAACCAGCCTTCCATGAGTCATGCCAGCGTGATGTGGGACGACTACTTTGAAGCCGGCGGCAACTGTTTCGATACCGCTTACATCTATGGTGGTGGCAGCATGGAAGCATTGCTGGGACACTGGCACACCGCACGCGGCATTCGCGAAGACATTGTCATTATCGGCAAAGGTGCACATACACCGGACAACTTTCCACACATCATCAGCAAAGAATTAGATATTTCGCTGCAACGCCTGCAATCTGACTACGTCGACATCTACTTTCTGCACCGGGATAACCTCGACGTACCGGTGGCCGAATTCATCGATGCTTTAAACGATGAAGTCAAAGCCGGCCGGATTCGCACCTTTGGCGGTTCGAACTGGAGCCTGGAGCGGGTACGCGAAGCCAACAACTACGCCGCCTCCAAGGGTCTGCAGGGTTTCAGCGCCATCTCCAACAACTTCAGCCTGGCGCAGATGAACGAACCCATCTGGCCCGGTACGGAAGACGCCACATCAGAAGCCTATCGAGACTATCTGCAGGAAACTCAGATTGCGCTGATGCCCTGGTCATCACAGGCGCGCGGCTTTTTCACACCCTGGGCGGGACAGGTGATTGCCGACAGTGGCAAAGAAAATCTTGTTGTAACCAGCGTGCAGCCGACGATCGAAGAACTCAAACGAGTGTGGTTTTCCCAGGATAACTTCACCCGCCGGGACCGAGCGGGTGAACTGGCAGAAAAATACGGTGTGGAGATGATCAACATTGCTCTGGCATACGTTTTAACCCAGCCATTCCCGACGTTCCCGCTGATTGGCCCACGCCAGCTGAAAGAAACTGACAGCTGCATAGAGAGCCTGAACATCAACCTTACACAGGCTGATATCGATTATCTCAACCTGCTCTAACCAGCTAACGCCGCCGGCGAGCTAACGAAACCACGTTGTCGCCGCCGACAACGTGCTGTTTCAATTGAAACAGAATTTCCCAGGTCGCGGTACGTCCACCTTCCTGCCAGAAACCTCGGCAACCTATGCCACCGCCTGGCTGAAACAAAGCAACACTAACGCTACTGGTATGACCTGCATTCCACAGTAGCGCAAGGTTCGGCTCGCTCTCGAGCTTGCTCACGCCATCAAAAGCCATACCTGCAACCCGGGCATCGATGACGTAGGTACCTACTTCGTCAGGCGCAATTCTGATTGATACAGCACCGGAGAACTCTCCTTGCAGGTTACCGCTCAACGTCAAGCCACCTTCATCTTCGCTGATATCCAGATCAACCTGCACCTCCACTCCCAGACTGGAACCACCGACCAGCAGGTTACCCTTACCCAGCCATTTTCCTTTTCTTACTAACAATGCAGTTCTTCCTTTTACCGGAAATTAGTGGATATCAGAGCTTACCGGGATGGTTGCACCAATGGGTTGCGCGCATCTGGCATCTTTGTGGCGCGCATTATTCACATGGGTGGAGACTGGCACAACTTCAAGCGGTACCGGCAGGCGGGAGTCGAACAGATCTTCAAGTTCCGACGTTGGGATGTCCATATCAAGCCACTGCTTTGCTGCTGAATGATCGAGGAACACCGGCTGACGATGATGGACAAAAGCCAGTTCAGGATTTGCTGCAGTGGTGAGAATAGTAAAACTGAGCAGTTCTTCGTCACTTTCCGGCTGGCGCCAGCTGTCCCACAAACCAGCCAGCAGCAACCCTGCATCCTGCTGAGGTTTGATGAAATACGGCAGTTTCTGATTATTCTGTCGACACCACTCATAAAAACCGCTGACGGGCACCACACAACGGCGTTTAGCATAAGGTGTTTTGAAAGCCGGGCTTTTTGCGGCAGTTTCTGATTTCGCGTTGAACATACTGTACTTCGTCGATAGCTCTTTCGCCCAGAAAGGCGTCAGCCACCAGCGCATAGGCACCATTTCCGGCTGCCCCTGGGCGTCCAAACGCAGCACGTGAACAGTTTCCGTAGGCGCAAGGTTGAAATTATCCTGCCCGGGATAACTCACCCCCACCAACTCCATAAGGAATTTGGCCAACGGATCCGATGTGATGTTGAACCTGCCACACATGTCATCTCTCCTTATCGATAATCCGGCCAGCGACGCCTATTGATCAGTTTTGCCATGATCGTGTTTACCGACCACCCATCCGGATTCGGCTAACACCGTCGCAGCAAAATCTATTGGACCGGCTTCCAACTCTGTCGCCATGGTGTCATTCCAGCGATTGAGAAAACCGAATAACGCAATCACCGCGACTATCTGCACAATCTGTCGTTCGCTGAAGTGCTGCTTCAGCGCTTGAAAGTGTGGCGCATCCGCTTCATTAGGGTTCTGCCCGGCAGCAAGAGCTACCGCCACTACCGCACGCTCAGCATCAGTGAATAAAGGCGAAGATTCATAGCTCAGGATCTGGGCAAACTTTTCCTCATCAACTCCTCGTCGATGACCACTGTGAGACGTATGCGCCTGACAGTAGCGACAACCCGCGCTAAGACTGACCGCGTACGCAATCAACTGCACCAACTCTGGCGAAAGCGCTTCATCCGCTGCCTCATCGACGGGTACCATGTCACTATAAGCGGCCATCATGGGACGCAGGTCTGCGCCGAAAACAACCCCCGCCAGCATTGAAAAAGCCATGGTCAACTGCGGCATATGGGCCATCGTTAACATGCTGTTCGGGACAAAGCCCATGCTGGCCTCGGCTCCCGCCAGCACCGCTTCCAGATGGCTCAGATCCGTCCGCGCAATTGGGTCAATATGGGCCATAGTCGAATTCCAGTGTGGGTGCAGGTTGTCACAGTGTAGAGGTTTGCGTTTTGCGCTTCATTAAGGAATGCTGCGCCGCTGTTTCATCGTCACAATCAGCAGTTAACCACATGCCCCAGCCCAGCATCCCACCCGTCGCTACCCGTAAACCTCACTCATTCAGCCATCATGGCATTCAGGTGGATGACCCCTACGCCTGGCTAAGAGACCCGGGCTACCCGGAGGTGAATGACAGCGAGATACTCAGCTATCTGAAGCAGGAAAACAGCTATTTTGAAAACTACATGGCGCCACTGGCACCTGTGGTGGAACAGATTTTTGAAGAGCTGAAGGCGCGCCAACCGGACGACGACGCCAGTGTCCCTTACCTGAAAAACGGATTCTGGTATCAATGGCGATTTGAAAAAGATGCTCAATACCGGCGTTGGTACCGCGCACCTGAGACCACACCACAAGCCTGGCAGCTACTGCTCGACGAACCCGCCCTTGCCGACGGCCATGAATACTTTTCCCTCGGCGCTCTGGCCGTCAGCCCGGATGGCCGCAGGCTGGCTTACAGCATTGACGTCGATGGCAGCGAGCGCTACACCCTGCACATTATCGATATTCAGAGCCGCCAGCCTTTGAGCACGCCGATCCCAGCCACCATGGGTTCACCCATATGGGATGCGCACAGTAATAATTTATTTTATGTCGTGGTGAATGAGCAGTGGCAACCACTGGAGGTTTATCAACACAGTCTGCTCGATACTGAAGGTGAGGACCGTCTTGTTCACAAAGAAACAGACACTACCTTGCGCGTATCGTTAGACCTGAGCCAGTCAGAGGAATGGGTGATTCTCAACTACGGCGGCCATACCAGTAACGCAGCGTTTGTCATTCCTCGTGATGATTTCAACACGCCGGCAAAACTGATCGAGCCGCGTCGCGACGACGTGGAATATTATGTTGACCACGGCAATGGTGAATTTGTCATACGCAGCAATGTGCGACAAGCCAACTTCGATATCTATCGTGTCAACGAAGAACAACCCGGACAATCCAACTGGCAAACCTGGGTCGCTGGAGATGAGCGTCACTACATTACCGGCCATGTCGTTTTTAAGAGCCACCTGCTGGTTGAAGAACGCATAGATGGCCTGGATCAGATTCGAGTCATAGACAAACAGGACAACCAGCACTATGTGGCGTTCCCTGAAGCCACTTACGAGGCGGGAATAGGTTTAACGCCTTCATTTGACAGCCCGACTGTGCGCATTAACTACGCCTCCATGGTCACGCCTAACACCGTATTCGAATACGACCTGACGAAACGGTCTTTCACCACCCTGAAAGTCAAACAGATTCCCTCCGGGTACGATGCCAGCCAGTTCACCACAGAACGGTTAACGGCAACCGCCCGGGATGGCGTGGAAGTACCTGTCAGCCTGGTCTACCACCGGGACACACCTGTGGATGGTCGCGCACCGTTATACCTGTATGCCTACGGCGCGTACGGCCATGCCATTGCACCTGGCTTTTCAGCAGCACGCATCTCTTTGTTAGAGCGGGGATTCATTTTTGCGATCGCACATATTCGTGGCGGCGACGATCTCGGCTATCACTGGTACACAGACGGCAAACTTGACAAGCGAACCAACACATTCAACGACTTTGTTGATGTCGCTAAACATCTGATCCAGAACAATTATGCGACCGCCGGCAACATAGCCATCGCGGGCGGCAGCGCGGGTGGCGAACTGATGGGTGCGGTGGTGAACCAGGCGCCGGAACTGTGGGGCGCTGTGGCTTCCCATGTACCGTTTGTTGATGTCTTAAACACAATGCTGGATGAGACGCTGCCACTGACACCCCCGGAGTGGGCTGAATGGGGCAACCCCATTACAGATCAGGCGGCGTTTGAGTTTATCCGCTCATATTCGCCCTACGATCAGCTGAGGCCAGGGGCTTACCCGCCGATCATGGTCACTGCGGGCTTAAACGATCCACGGGTCACTTATTGGGAACCGGCCAAGTACGTGGCTAAGCTACGTACGCTCAAGCAGGACAGCACTACGCTGCTGCTGAAAACAAATATGGGGGCTGGCCATGGCGGACAATCGGGACGTTTTGATGCGCTCAAGGAGCTGGCTGAAGAGTACGCGTTTTTTCTGCACGAACTGGGCGTCAGCAACCAGGCTCCAACAACATCTGCTTGAGTGATCTTTATCCGGTCGCGGTACGCTTGGCTTTATCTTCGTTGGCCTGCTTGAGCCGCTTGCGAATAATATTCTGTACGACAGACACTGTAGTCCAGTCATGCAACATGGCGCGTTCACAGTCTTTACAGTTCACATGTGCTTCCTGCAGCACGCGGTTAAGCAACTCACTGTAAGGCAGACGCGAAATGTGTTTACAGCTTGAGCACTCCAGCCCTACCGCGGGATCGATGCCAACATAATCCATGGCTTGAGGTATCCTTATCTCGTAATCCATCGAATCACTATTGTAATGAAGGCTAGTTGCCTTCGTCCGAATGGCAATCGAAAAGCGTGAATCAGTGCACACGCTTGGCGTGATTTAGGCGTTGTGAAGTTCGCCCTGGCGCAGAGCATCACGAAATTGTGGCGCAGCTATCTCAATCAGCGCTTCAACCCGGGCCGCTGCCGGCAGATTTTTCAGATGTGCAACACCAAACTCGGTGACCACAATATCAACGTCCGTACGCAGCGCAGTAACCAACTCCACACGTGGGACAATACGCGAGACAGATCCGCCTCGAGCAGTTGCATTCATTGCAACAATTGAGCGCCCGCCGCGGGACGCTTTAGCCGCACGCATGAAGTCCACTGAACCACCTGTGCCAGATATCTGGCGCCCACCAGCATACTCCGCATTCACCTGGCCAAGCAGATCGATCTCCACCGCAGAATTCACCGAAACAAAGTTATCCAGTTGTGCAATGGCAGACGCTTCGTGAGTATGGTTTGCACCGCAGAACACCACGTCTGGTGTATCGGCAAGCCAGGTCAACAGGGCCTTGCTGCCTAGCGCCATACCAGTAATGTGCTTGTTTTTATCCAGGGTTTTGTTGCGGCCATTAAGGTTGCCGTTACGAATAAGCTGCATGCCGCCATCGTCGATCAGACCACCGTGCATACCGAGATCATTTTTGTCGCCCAGCTGGCTGAGGATGGCCGCAGGAATAGCGCCAATGCCGGTCTGCAGAACATCCCCATCCTTGATCAAACCAGCAACATTTGCGCCGATCTGCAAGGCGGCTTCATCAATGCTTGGAGGGGCTGGAGCAAACAGCTCACGCTCGCTTTCAAACACATGGTCGAGGCGTGCAGGGTCTATCAGCGGTGCGCCTGCTGGCGCAGTAAAACCTGTATTTAGCTCCGCCAACACCACCCTGGCATTGCTGAGGACGGCATCAACAAAATCCACATTTGGGCCCAGGCGCAGCTGGCCATCCCGGTCACGGGCAACCTGTATAAGGGCCACATCGATACCTTGACTCAAATAGCTGTACACCCAGCGCATCTGCATCGGTAGAAAATGCAGCCGCTCAGCAGCTGCGTTTTTCAGCGCAGGCGTCATGAAAAAAGTAGTCAGGTGAGCGTTTGCGTTTGCCTGGGTAAAATCTACGTTGTTGAATCCGGCAATGGGGAACTGCACAAAGTGCAGGTTCTCAGGCAGAGGCTCGGCCAACAGACTTTCAATCAGACCAGTGGGTTCGTTGCTGCTGCCCGCAACAAAAATCTTCTGGCCTGCTTCGATCAGGGCTGATGGATGAGGCATTATTTTTCCCGGTAGATTAAGAAACTCAAGTAACAGTAGGCGCCCACATAAAATGCTGGTGGAAACCAGACCGGCCAGAGGGTGAGCACGGTATTTGTTCCCAGACCGATGCCGAGGTAGACATGCCTGACCCAAAGAAACCCGACGGCCAGCAGCACACCACTGGTAGTGGCCATCATCAGACCCTGCCGGGTTGAGAAAATCACACTGACAATGCCCCCCGCCAGCCCGCCAAGCCAGACCGGAAAAAGCACACCCAGCAACGACCCCGGCATTTTCACAATAACCACCAGAACGTACCAGACCAGGAAGGCAACACCCATGCAGATGATGGTGCGTAAGCCGGATAACACTGCCAGCATTAATTACCTCGGGACAAAAAGAGCATGATAAACCCAAATCTGCTGTAATCGTTGAATGTCTGACACCTTGCCTTTCCACCCGACCATCCAACGCTGGTTTGCTGATCAATATCCCGCACCCACTGAAGTGCAACAAGCCAGCTGGCCGCTGCTGGCCAGCGGTCAGCACGCCCTCATTACAGCGCCCACCGGCAGCGGCAAAACCCTCACCGCCTTTTTGTGGTCGCTGAGTCAGTACGCCTCAGGTAACTACCACACCGGGCAAACCAAGGTGTTGTATATCTCGCCTTTGAAAGCCCTGAACAATGATATCCAGCGCAACCTCACCACGCCGCTGGCGCAGTTGACATCTGCTTACGGCTTCCCGCAGTTGAAGGTACAAACCCGCTCAGGAGACACCCCCCAGAGTGAGCGACAACGCATGCTGCGAACGCCGCCGGACATACTCATCACCACGCCGGAAAGTCTTGGCCTGTTGCTGACCACACGCAAAGGTCAGATTGCGCTGAGTCAGGTTCAGACCGTCATCCTTGATGAGATTCACGCCCTGGTCGATAACCGTCGCGGCGCATCTTTGATGGTCAACATCGAGCGTCTGGCAGATTTTGCCGGAGAATTTCAACGCATCGCATTGTCAGCCACCGTGTCACCACTGGAGGCAGTGGCGGAGTATGTTGCGGGCCATACCCCCCAGGGACAACTTCGACAGGTGCAGGTCGTCAACACACCCGGCGCAAAGAAAATCGATTTCCGCATTACCTTTCCTCCGGACGCCAAGCAGGCAGCCGAAAACGGCGAGAAGATCTGGGAACCTTTATCAAAGAGTTTCAAGGCAACCATTGCGGACAACACCTCCACCCTGTTCTTCACCAACAGCCGCCGCCTGGCAGAAAAAATAACCCTAAAAATCAATGAAGAAGAACCAGAACCTCTTGCCTATGCACACCATGGCTCGCTGGCCAGAGAGGTGCGCACTGAAGTCGAACGACGCCTTAAAGCCGGCGAGCTGAAAGCCATCGTAGCGACTAATTCTCTGGAAATGGGTATCGATATCGGCGCCCTGGACGAAGTGGTTCTGGTGCAATGTCCGCCATCGGTTTCAGCCTGCCTGCAACGCATCGGCCGAGCCGGTCATCAGGTGGGCGAAGTCAGCACAGGCACTTTGTTTCCTACCCACGCCCACGATTTCCTGGAAGCCGCGGTGCTGGCCCAGGCGATTGCGGCCCGCGACATTGAACCCCAGCAGATGATGCGGGGGCCGCTGGATGTTCTTGCACAGTTAGTCATTTCGATCTGCGCGAACGAGCCATGGCCTGTGGACCAGATCTACCGGCTGATCACCCGCGCCGCGCCCTATCATCATCTGCAACGTGAACAATTTGACCAGCTGATTGAAATGCTCGCCGGGCGCTACAGTGGCAGCCGTATCCGGGAGCTGCGCACGCGGCTGGATTTTGATCGCATACAGCAGACCGTAAAAGCCAATCGCGGCGCGGTGCTGGCCATGTACAACTCAGGCGGCACCATCCCGGACCGTGGCTATTATCAGTTACGACACGCTGACCATGGCGCAGTGCTTGGCGAGCTGGACGAAGAATTTGTCTGGGAGGCTAGCGTTGGTCAGACCTTTACCCTGGGTACCGCTGCCTGGCAGATCAAGCAGATCACGCACAACGATGTGCTGGTCCGTCCGGCGCCACCGGATCGGGCTGCACCGCCCTTCTGGCGGAGCGAGTTTTTTAACCGATCGCTGCATTTTTCAAATCGAATTACGCAATACCTGGAACACGTTGAAGACCGGTTAGGCAATAACGACAGCCAGGGGTTGCTTGATGATCTCACTGAAACTGACGGCTTTGATGATATCGCGGCGGCAGAGCTTGTCGATTACCTGCAACGCCAGCGCGCCCATACCCGGAGCGAATTACCCCACCGACATCATTTACTGGTGGAACTGGTGCGCACGGGACCCGCGGGTTACCACGGCCCGAATGATCCCCGGCAGGTGGTGCTGCACACCTTCTGGGGAGGCCGTTTGAACCAGCCATGGGCAATGGCCATTCAAGCCGCCTGGCAGGCGCGCTTTGGCAGCAAACTCGAGATACACGCAGATAACGATGCCATTGTGGCGCAAATTGAGGGAGAGCTGGACCCGCACGTTCTGCTAACACTCGTTACGCCAGCCAACTTTTCTGCGTTATTTCGGGGCAGCCTTGAACTGTCGGGTTTCTTTGGCGCACGCTTCCGGGAATGCGCCGGACGCGCACTGTTACTGACCAAAGCAAAGTTTAATCAACGCCTGCCTTTGTGGATGAGCCGTCTGCAGGCAAAAAAACTGATGACCCAGGTCAAAAGCCTGGAAAATTTTCCGATCATGATCGAAACCTGGCGCACCTGTCTGGATGATGAGTTTGATATTCCCGCTTTACTGGCACGCCTGCAGGAACTGGAAAGCGGCGAGATCCACTGGAGCTTTGTCGAAACCACCAGCCCCAGCCCGTTCGCCCGTAACCTGACCTTCGGCCAGGTCAGCCGCTACATGTACGCGGATGACACCCCGGAAGATGATGAACTGAGCAGCTTGAGCGCAGACGTCATCAGTCAGGCTTTACACAATGACGCGCTGCGGCCGCGGATTGAACGTGAGGTCATTCAACAATTCGAAGCCAAGCGTCAGCGACGCTTCCCAGGTTACGAACCCAGCCATCCAGATGACTGGTCAGCATGGCTGAAAGAAAGAATCCTGATTCCAATCAACGAACTGCCAGAAACCCTCCCACCAATGGATTATCTACGCTGGATAGAGGTCGGCAAGCGACGCTGGGCCACCCACGCAGAACTCGAGCAGGGTTTGTATACCTGCGGTCTGGTGCCAGGTGAGGCGCCTGAAAACAGTTTTGCTATCAGCGAGTTACGCACGGATGTAGAGATTGCTCGCGAAATACTGTCGTTCTATGGCCCGCTGTCGGAAACGGACATTTCTCAACGTCTGCCTTCAATCCCGGAAGGCCTGTTCAACGTTGATGAAACGTTCATTCAGGGTCTGCTGATCGCCGGTGATGACACAAGCTACTGGTGTGATGCACAGAACTTTGAATCGCTGATGCGCTTCGCGCGCGCCGCGCAGCGCACTGAATTTGCAGCACTGCCGGTAACTCACCTGCCGGGGTTCTGGGCCAGCTTTCAACAGTTTGGTCGACGTTCTGAACCGCAGTCGCTGCTGTCTGTTCTGGAAAGGTTGCGCGCGCTGCCCTGCACAGTTTCAACCTGGTGGTATGACCTGTTACCCGCCCGTCTGTCCGGCATGCAGGCCAGCGTCTGGGATACTGAAATTCCAGACTATGGGTTTACCTGGGTCGGCGCAGGCAAAGAACAGATAGCCGTTGGCTTCCCCGAAGACCTTGAATTACTCAGTGACAGTCAAGCCAGAGCCGATTTTGCAGACAGCTTTGTCGACCCTAGCGCGGGGTACCGTTTCGAAGACCTGGCGCAACAACAGTCAATCAGCCGCAATGCCTTTAATAACCAGTGGTGGCAGGCCGTCTGGCAAGGCGGGTTACACAGTGATACGTTTGCTTCCATACGGATCGGGTTAGAGCGCAAATTCACCTTGCAGGCCCCACCGGCACAAATCTCAAGCCGGCGTCGAATGCGCATGTCCGCACCTGGCTGGCCAGGCAACTGGCTGCTACCGCGCAGCAAATCACCGCTGGATGCGTTAAGTCGTTTGGAAGCGGACAAAGAAATTGTTCGCCTGCTGCTGGACCGATATGGCTGGGTCAACCGGGAAATTGTCAATCGTGAACGTTTGCCTTACGGTGCAGAAGGCAAAACTCTGCGTTGGCGCAATGCCTTCCGCGCATTACGCGTAATGGAACTGTCAGGCGAAGTGCTGACTGGACACTTCTTTGAACAACTCTCTGGCCCACAATTCATTACTGCCAGCGCATATGCACAGCTGCAAAACCCAGCCGCCCCCGACAGCTGGTGGCTCGCAGCCAATGACCCGGCGTCACCCTGTGGCCTGGGGCTGGACTGGCCGGAGCTACCGCAACGGCGGGCAAATAATTATCTGAGTTTCGCCGCGAATAAATTAAGCGCGGTGATCATCAATGGTGGCAAACAGATTCAGTACTACATTCCTGCAGATGATCAATCACTACCTGTGGTTAACGCAGTGCTGGCACATCTGGTCAACTATCGCCGTCTGCACGTACAGATTGAAAGTATCAACCAGGTACCCGCACGCAGCAGCCCGTACCTGAGCGCTCTGCAAAGCCAGTTTGAGGTGGCTTCAGATCACAAAAGTGTAACGCTGCAACCAGGATTCTGAACTTTTCCCAGGCGCTGTTGCAGGCAAGTTGCAGATCTGGTCTAGACTCATATTTATCGTCTTTGTTTCTTTACCACACCAACATGCCACAGAATCTGCACATTGCCATTGTTGCCGCTGAACCGACCCAGGCGAGAGTCTGGGCGAATCTGTGTGAGTCACAGGGCTGGCAGGTGGTCCAACTGCGCCTTGATGAACTGACAGACAACCTGATCAGCGTAGACTTCATCATCTTCGACCAGTTGCACGCGTTGAGCGCTGTGAGTCGTTACCTGACACAGCACCGGCAGAGCAACGCAATCTATCTGAGTGTCAGCGGCACTGATATCGGTTTGCCGGACCGCTGCAGCGTGCTGCTTGAGACAGATGTTGAAACCCATCTCATCACACACCTGACGACCATAGCTAACGTCGCTCAATTTGAAGCTCAGTTTTTTCGTTCAGAGACCGTAGAGCCGATTACTCAACTACCCCGCCACAGTGAACTGCTGCACAGTGTCCGGCGCTATGTCGGACAGGCCTGTGGATTGATTGTGCTTGAGATTGATCACGCTGAACACCTATACGAAAACCTCGACCCGGTAAGCAAAACAGATCTGTTAGGCGCGATTGGACTGCACATCTCAAACCAGTTGCCCGACGATGCCCACCCGGGCATTTTCAACGCCGCGTGTTTTGTAGCCTGGTGTCCACAGCTCACCGGTGCAGCTCTGGAACAGGCCAGCCAGCGACTGCTGGTCGCCTGCCGGAACACCATCACTATCCGTGGCGGCGAACTCCACTTCACCATCAGTTGTGGCTATGCCGACACCCAGGCATTAACGGCTCCGGAACAGCTATGGCAGGCCGCCTGGTCCGCCAAAGAAACCAGCAAACAGAACGGCGGCAACCGCAACACCGGGCCACTGGCTACCGAAAAACTGAGCCAGCTTATTCCGAAAGCTCTGAATCGCAACGAATTCAGCCTGGCATTGCAGCCGCAATGGGATATCAGGGGTGTGAATATCACCGGCGCCGAGGTGCTGCTGCGCTGGCAGGGGTTGGATGTTGGCAACATTACGCCGGATCAATTTATTCCTCTGGCTGAGCGCCGCGGTGAAATCAACCGAATGGGTGACTGGGTACTCAAACAGACCTGCCAGAATGTCTGGCAATGGAACGATTCAACAAACAAAAAGCTGTTGATCGGCATTAATGTATCTCCCCAGCAATTCAACAAAGGGGCTATCGCCACACTTCTGGAAGCCCTTATAAATAACAATGATATCGACCCCAGCCAACTGGAGCTGGAGCTCAGTCACGAAAACCTGCTGCACGTTGTTGACCAATATCGACGGACACTGTTTCACCTGCGCGATCTGGGCGTAAGGGTTGCCATCGACAACCTGGGGGTCGGCGTTGTTGATGCCAAGAAGCTGCTGCGCTGCCCAGCAGATACCTTAAAAATAGACCGCACGCTGCTTTCGACGATCGAACGGGAAGATAGCGTTCGAACACTTGTTGCGCAAATCTGTCAGGTAGCGGAGCGTTTTGAATTGCGCTGTGTTGCGGTGGGTATCGAAACCGAATCCCAGCGCACCCTGCTGGAAAATATCGGCTGCAGCGACGCGCAGGGCTTCCTGTTTTCAGCGCCGGTGGCACTTAACAATTTCAATACCTACCTGGCTGAACACACAACTGTAAAAAATCCCGCGCAGAAGTTTTCCGCCAGGTAGATGAATAATTCCAGCAGAACGCAAATTCTGCATTTTGTTCAAAACATCAGGCTAGAATACCGGCCTTCTCACCAGGTCTAAGGCCGCGGCTCATGCACATCTACAGCCACCCTATCTGCCTCGAGCACCGGGTACCCAACGGTCATCCGGAGAAACCGGAAAGGCTGCAACGTGTATTGCAGCACCTGGACAGCTGCGGCATCAGTCAGCAGTTTCCGATACTTGAGGCACCCAGTGTGCTGGAAGAGGATATCCTGCGCGCCCACCCTGCCGCTCACCTGGCGTTTATTCATGCTAGCGTTCCGACTGATGATGTTGCGTTAACGCCGGTAGATCCGGACACCTGGATGGGTACCCGCAGTGAACAGGCAGCCCGAGTAGCCGCCGGCGCAGTGGTCACGGGCGTTGGCGACCTTATCGCTGGCAGAACAAAGCGTGTGTTCTGCGCCGTCAGGCCACCTGGACACCATGCCGAGATCAATGCGGCGATGGGCTTCTGCCTGTTCAACAGTGTCGCCATAGGTGCTTTGCACGCTCTGGCCCAGAACAGTATTGATCGGGTTGCGATTCTGGATTTCGACGTTCATCACGGCAACGGCACCGTTGATATATTCAAGGACAATGCAGATGTGCTGGTGTGTTCCAGCTTCCAGCATCCTCACTACCCCAACCGTGGTTATGATGTTTATCGCCAGAACATCATCAACACACCGATGGCCGCAGCCAGCGGCGGCAACGTATTCAGAGCATTGGTTGAACGGGATTGGCTACCGGCACTTGAGCGCCACAAACCAGATCTGATTTTAGTTTCGGCAGGCTTTGACGCCCACAAAGAGGATCCGTTGGCAGATATCAATCTGCTCGAGGAAGATTACGCCTGGATAACAAAACTTATCGTCGATGCGGCCAATCAGTACTGTAGTGGACGCGTACTGGCAACTTTAGAGGGTGGCTATAACCTCGACGCTTTGAGTCGCAGCGTCGAGGCACACCTTAATGTGTTAAGTCAGGACATACCTGGCTAGCAAAGAGCGAGCCAGGCAGCTGATTAATCCATTGCCCGTGTTGGCACTGGACCACCACCATCACAGTACAAGCGTTCGCCCGTCAGATAGCTGTTCTGGGGTGAAACCAGAAAGTCGACAACGTTGGCCACGTCCTGGGGCTGACAAACCCGACCAAACGGCATGCTGTCATCCAGTGTGCGGATATCCTGTACACCCTGGGTGGCTTTGATCAGTCGTTTGCCCATATCGGTTTCTACCAAACCTGGGGCTACGATGTTGACCCGGATACCATAACGCCGCTCTTCTTTGGCTAACGTGTAAGCCAGCGCTTCCATCGCGGTTTTACCCATATTGTAGGGCGCACCATGGCTACCCAGAGAGCGCGTAGCGACGCTGCTGATCATCACAATGTCACCACGATCCAGCTGACGCATACCCGGCAGTACCAGTTTCGCCAGATAGTGCGGACCAAAAGCATGCGTAGCCACCACGCGCTGTAACTCCGCAGGATCTGTATCTGCAACAGATTGCCCGCGGCTGGCGATACCCGCGTTATTTATAAGAATGCTTATCGGACCAAAGTCCGCCTCGATGGCCGCCACCATCTGGGCATCCTGGTCAAAATCATCCACCGAAGCGGCGTAAGCTCTGGCTGTTCCTCCAGCCGCAACAATTTCAGCCACGGTTTGTTCTGCTGATTCCTCATCGCGACGATAATTGACGGCAACCGTTGCCCCCTGTTTTGCCAACGATATAGAAATAGCGCGGCCAACGCCTCGACTGCCACCGGTAACCAGCGCCACACGTCCCTGTAAAGACATCACAACCCCCTATTGTCCGGAAAACGCAGCGTCGCGTTTTTCCAGAAATGCTTTGACCCCTTCACCGAAATCACTTGAAGCACCCGCTTCATTCTGCAGCTGCGCTTCCAACTCAAGCTGTTGTTCAAAAGAATTCTGCCAGGTCTGCCAGTAGGCTTTGCGGATCAACACCAATGAACGCGGCCCATTCGCCAGCTTCTGGGCAATGCCCATCGCGCCGGTCATAAGGGCTTCGTTATCTTCAAACAAGCGATTTACCAGACCCCATTCATGCGCCTGTTCGGCAGGTAAGCGCTCGGCCAGCATGGACAGCTCCATCGCCCGTCCCCATCCAACCAGACGCGGCAACATGAACGTCGAGCCACCGTCGGGAATAAGACCAATACGGGCAAACGCCTGCAGAAAGAAACCCGATTTAGACGCACAGACGATATCGCCCAACATAGCAAAACTCATACCGACACCGGCCGCCGCGCCATTGACTGCGGTCACTATCGGCATTTCCAGACTCCGCAGTTCAAACATCAACGGGTGATAGAAGTTTCGCAGCGCAGAACCGGCGGGTTTAGCTTTGCCTTCGCGCTTTGCATCATCCTGCAGGTTAGCGCCAGCACAGAAACCACGACCTTCTCCGGTCAGAAGCAGACAACGCGCGCCGTTTGCCGGGTCTTTAATGGCTTCAACCGCTTCGGCAAAATCGCCCAGCATCTGTTGACCAACTGCATTCATCACCTCGGGATGATTGAACCTCAAAACGGCCACATTGCCGACAAATTCTAAAGCCATTCTTTCCATACGTTCCCCCTAAAAAAATTCAACAGATCAGATTTCAGCCAGCAAGAGTACCGTAAAGTTGCGTGCAAACACTACGCCCTCTTCATGGCGCGCGAGCACTGAAGAACCAAGCACTTCAAGGGCAAGAGGAATGCTAAGCTGCAGGTCATGTTATTTTCTTACCTTGCTGCCGCAACAGGTCTGCTGAAACAGATGAATAAAAGCCTCTGGACACTCGCTCTTTTCAGTTTTTTTGCTGTCGCGGCTCCAAACCCAGTTGCATCCGAGCCGAATGCTGGCCAGTTCGCGGCAAAGACAAAAACCCTACGCAGCGCGTTGCTGCAGATTAAAGCGCGTCACAACATCTCGTGCCTGGCCCTCAGCTGGATAAAAGATCAACCCGCGCAGCCTTCGTCGATCACCCTGGGCTGTGACCATGAGGCTGTCTTGCGTTGGGGCTCTATCACTAAAACGATCACCGCTTTGACCGTTCTGGATCTTGCCGCAGAGGACCTGCTTGATCTGCACGCACCGATCAGCAGCTATCTCGACACCACGCTATGGGATAACGCCTGGCAACCTGAACAACCGATTCGCGTCATCGATCTGATCGAGCTACGGGCTGGATTTGCTGACTTGTCCCCACGCGCGTTTAACTACAATGAACCTCTGCAACTCGCGGAGGCGTTGGCGTTTGAACGCAATCAGTTACAGACCTTCTGGCCACCCGGACTGCAACATGCCTATTCAAACCTGACACCAGGATTGAGCCAGCTCCTGATCGAAACCGTAAGTGGCCACAGCTATGCAGCAGCAGTTCATGCACGCCTCTTCAAGCCGTTGCAATTCTCCAACGCCAGCTTCACGCAAAGCGACAATCTCCTGCCGGGCTTTCAGCCTGATGGCACCACCCCTATCCCTTACTGGCAGATGACATTTGCAGCATTTGGCGCGCTCAACGCCTCCACCGCGGACATGCAGAAGCTGTTGGCTGAGCTGCTACAACCCGCGGCGCTGCACAACACGCAGCATCAGCATCTACGCAAACCCCACGGACGCCGTTTTCTGCCAGAATTCAGTTTCGACTATGCCGCCGGTTTTTATCCACGTATCCGCCAGGGTTTCATCTGGCATACTCACGGTGGCGATGCCGACGGCTATCGCTCCCGCTTGAGCGTCATGGCCCGGCATCAGCGCGGTTACGTGGTCAACATTAACAGCGACAACCCTGCCGCTCTTCGACAGATTGAAGGTGCAATCGAAAAGTTCTTGAGCGCAGATCTACCCAGGCCAGACAAACCGCCAGCTTTCAACCTCAGCCAGGCAGAGCTGAACGCGCTTACCGGCGAGTATTACCCTTCGAGCACGAGATTCGGGCTGGCAGCGTGGCAAGCCGGCAGGTTGCAGAAGATTGCCATTGTCCTGCGCGATGATCAGCTCTGGTTTACCACCGCCAACCAGGACACACGCCTGTTTGCAGTCGATCGTCATCAATTTCGGCGCGCCAATGACCCGGTCGCCACGGTTGCGTTTGTACAGGTGGGCAATAATCTCTATCTGCAGGGTGAGCTGGGGCATTATGCGCGCCTCAACAACTGCCCTGCCTTCCTGAATTGTTGAAAGCGTATCAGTCCGACTATTGCAAACACAGAGGTTTATTCCACCAGTGCAATCACAGATAATCACCCCCAACACTGGAGAGACACCCTTGAATACAGTTGCCGTTGCTGAATCTTTTTACGAGCAGATCAATGAGCTTGCGCCCAGCATTGAAGCCAACCGAAGAATGCCTCAAGACCTGGCTGACAAGATGGCAGACGCCGGCCTGTTTCGTATGCTGGTGCCCGCTCAATACGGCGGCCACGAATGCCAACCGCAACAATTTTTCGACACTCTTGCCGCCACGGGTTATGCCGATGGTGCTGTGGGCTGGTGCCTGATGATTGGCAGCACTACCGGGTTACTCAGCGCTTCTCTGTCCCCTGAATGGGCACAGAAGATTTACGGCGACAACCCCCACGCAATTAGCGTCGGTGTGACCGCACCAATCGGCAAAGCAGAAGTTAATTCCGCTCAGAATGGCTTAACCGTATCCGGGCGCTGGCCCTTCGGCAGCGGATCCCAGATTGCAAACTGGATATGTGGCGGCTGCAGCGTCACCGAAAATGGTCAACCCAGGGTCAACAAACACGGCCAACCAGAGCCGGTGCTGGCCTTTTTCCCTGCTGATGAAGTGACCATTCATGACGACACCTGGGACACTTCAGGATTACGTGGCACCGGCAGCCACGATATTGAAGTCAGCAATGCTTTTGTGCCGGAAGGTCGCTGGGTTGTGCTGGGCAAGCGTGCCCAGGTCGATAGCCCACTGTATCGTTTTCCTACCTTCGGCTTGCTCGCGCTTGGTGTTTCAGCGGTATCTATCGGCATTGCGCAACGCGCGATTGATGAATTCGTCAACCTCGCAGGCGCCAAAACGCCTACCGGGTCATCACGCGCGCTGGCGAACCGACCAGCGGTACAGAAAGACCTCGCACAAGCCCAGGCGAAACTGGCCAGCGCACGTGCGTTGACCGCAGCCTATATTGATGAAGCCTGGCAGCAGGCTAACGCCGAGGGTCGGCTCGATCAGAAGAGCAAGGCCAAGCTGCGATTGGCAGCGACAAACAATGCCTGGTCGGCGGTGGACGTTGTCGACAAGCTTTATCACGCAGCCGGCGGCACCGCAATTTACAGCAAATCCAAGCTCCAGCAGTGTTTTCGCGATGTCCATGTACCCACGCAACATATTATGGTGGCGCAGCCCACATACGAGGTGGTAGGGAAAGTTCTACTCGGCATGGACACCAATCAACCTCTATAAATTATGGCCCACGCTCACTCGCACCATCATGGCCAGAATGACAGCCGACTGTTAGGACGCGCCTTCTTTTTGATCGCCACCTTTATGCTGGTGGAATTGGCCGCAGGCCTGTTTACCAACGCGCTGGTGTTGATTGCAGATGCCGGGCACATGTTTCTGGATGCCACCGCTCTGGGTCTATCCTGGTGGGCAGCTCGTATCTCCGCAAAAGGTTTTGATCATAATTTGTCTTACGGCTATCACCGCTTTCAGGTTTTGGCCGCATTCATTAACGGGCTGACTCTGGTAGCGCTGATCGTCTGGATAGCTATAGAAGCAGTACACCGGCTGACGGCACCGGAGATGATCAAACCCATTCCCGCGTTAGTCGTGGCCATAATTGGATTTGTCATTAATCTCATCGCTTTCAAATGGCTGCACGGCGCATCCGACACAGGCAACGTGCGCGCTGCAGCGCTACACGTTCTAGGGGACCTGCTTGGTTCAGCGGCCGCGATCATCGCCGCCGTATGTGTGTACTGGTTTGGCTGGCTGTATGCAGACCCGGTACTGGCTTTGGTGATTGTTGTGATCCTGGGCCGCGGTGCATACGGCGTACTCAAAGAATCCACCCATATTCTGCTTGAGGGTGTTCCGCAGAACGTCGATCTGAAGGAAATAAAATCCGTCTTAAGCCATTCAATACCTGAGGTCACCGAAATTCACCACGTGCACGCCTGGGCGCTGACCGCAGAAAAGCCGTTGCTGACTCTGCATGCACTGGTGCCGGAGAAAACTGAAGTCCAGCCCGTTGTGGCCGAGATCAAACGGGTACTGAACCAGCAGTTCGGCATTGATCACTCGACTATCCAGGTCGAAACCGGTCCGTGCCCGGACGACCACTAAACGCGCATTGCGACCTAAACCGACGCCTCTTTCGGAAACTGTTCACGCAACACACGCTTCAATATCTTGCCGCTTGGATTACGTGGGATCTCGTCAACAAACACAGCCGCTTTGGGCTGTTTAAAGCCGGCTAACTTACCCTGACAGAAATTGATGACATCAGCTTCTGTGAGACTGTCGTCTTTTCTGACAACAATAGCCAGGGGTGACTCGCCCCATTTGGCACTGGTTTGACCAATTACTGCAGCTTCTGCAATACCGGGATGTGAGGCGAGCACGCCTTCAATCTCTGCAGGATAAACATTCTCACCACCACTGATGATCATGTCTTTAATACGATCCTGAATCGAGACAAAACCTTCATCGTCCATAGTGGCAACATCACCGGTACGCAGCCATCCATCTACCAGCGTTTCCGCTGTCGCATCAGGCCGATTCCAATACTCACGCATGATGTGCGCACCCTTAACCCACACCTCGCCTGCCTCTCCGGTTGCGCAATCCTGCCCATCGTCGTTGACGACACGAATCTCGGTGTGGAAAAAAGCGCGGCCGGTGGAGTCAGGTTTGCGTAAAGCGTTTTCGGCATCCATCAAACAGGCGGGGCCACAGCTTTCAGTCAGCCCATACACCTGCAGCAAACCGATGCCCAGATCATGATACTGCTGAGTCAGAGATACCGGCACCGGAGCCGCACCCGTCATCATCCACCTGAGGGTCGAATAGTCGTGCTGGTCATAAGGTACCTGCATCATGAAATTCAACATCGCGGGTACCGCAAGGCCGGTGGTGATTTTTTCTTCTGCAATCAGCTGCCAGGCTCGAACCGGATCGAACGTGCGCATGACAATGTTGGTTGCACCGCGCCAGACGTTAACCGCCAGCGGGGTCAAGGCGCCGACATGGAACATGGGTAAACAGGCCAGGTAACGGTCTTTGTCCTGATACTCTGCAGTTGCTCCTATGGTCACCAGACCCCAGATCGCACTGTGATGCGTGTGAACGACACCCTTGGGCAACCCCGTTGTGCCTGAGGTGTACATGATATAGAGCATATCTTCGTCAGCCGCACGCGCCTCTGGTTCGGCATCAGAGGCGGCATCCCGGAAAGATACATAATCTGTTGCAAAGTAAGCCGCGTCATCGTCACCGCTGACCTGCAGCCATTGCTGCACATCGGTTTTGTCACCACGGCTCTGCAGTTCAGCAACCGTGTCGACAAACTCGTTGCCAAAGATGAGTCGCCTGGTACCACTGTCTTTTAAAATAAACTCAAGCTCATCAGCCACTAAACGCCAGTTCAGAGGCACTACCACCGCGCCAACTTTGGCCAGCGCAAAATAGGCTTCCATGAATTCCCGGGAATTCATCAGCAACAGGCCTACGCGCTCGCCTTTTTCGATGCCGTCCGCAAGCAAGGCGTTTGCCAGTTTGTTGCAACTTGCATTCAGCTCCTTGTAAGTGAGGCGGAAACTTCCGTCACCCTCCACATAGGCTTCCAAATCCGGCGAAAGAAATGCCCGTTTAGTTAGAAATAGACCCAGGTTGTTCTTCATTGCGCCAGTTCCCCTATCCGCTTTTGTTGCAAAACCAACATTGTGGGTCAAGGTCAACCGAATTGCCAAGCAGATATACCCTGACAATCAGATGACCGTGATAACATGGCGCCATGCAGATCGCTTTAGAAGCCCTCAATCGCCTGCGCGAAGGGAACCGCCGTTTCGCAGCAAATCAATTTGCTGATCACGCCGTACAGTCCAGCCGGGAACAGTCTATTGGCGGTCAAAACCCATTCGCGATCATTCTGGGTTGCTCAGATTCGCGGGTGCCAGCCGAGCTGATATTTGATCAGGGCCTGGGCGATCTATTTGTTATTCGTGTGGCGGGCAATATTGTTGCCCCATCACAGGTTGGTAGCGTCGAATTTGCGGCAGCTGAGTTTGGTACGCGCCTGGTTGTGGTACTCGGGCATACTCAATGCGGCGCGATCAGAGCAACCATTGAAGAGTTGATTCAAACCAGCGAGAACCGCTCACCAAATCTGCGTTCAATTGTTGACCGCATCAGGCCCGCTGTACAACCACTGATCAACGCACACACTGCGCCGTCAGAATTGATGAATCAGGCCGTACGGGCAAATGTTCTCGCCTCTGCTGACCACCTTCGGCATGGCTCTGACATTATTGAAGAGCTCATCCGCAACGATAGCCTGCTGGTGGTCGGTGCTGAATATTCACTGGAAACAGGTGAGGTTGAGTTTTTTGATGGTATCCCGTTGGGCTGAACGCGGCACGTAACTATTTGTAACATCTTTGAACAATAATCACCTTGCAATGAACATTCATGTTCATAGAATGCTGCTTCTTCTGTGATTCGGACCAACGGCTCGATGCAGTCACAGTAAGAAGGCGTGTCACGGTGATCTCTCCCCTTCCTCCCTAACCGTGGCACGCCACTTCTTCTGTCCAGTCGCAACCTGAACAAAGGTTCGCAAACTGGACAATCCTGTCCAGGTCTATATAGTTGTTCAGCCTTTGTACCTGGACAGCCCTGCCGTGGATGCCAAGTTACCAACATCGCAAGAACAGGAACTGTACCGGATCGGTACCGTCGCTTCGCTTACCGGATTATCCGTTGAACGATTGCGGGCCTGGGAACGGCGCTATGACCTCACTCCAGCCCAGAAAACGGGTAAAACGCGGTTTTACAGTCGTGAGCAATTGCAACAGCTGCAACTCATCAAACACCTCATTGACCAGGGGCAACCCATCTCGAGCCTCGCTGCCCTGTCTATCAGCCAACTGGAAGCGCGCATCGATAGCCAACCGGCAGAGCCTGTCGTCGCCAGCCTGCATGCGCCAAGCGTTGGTCTGATCGGCGCAAACCTGGTGACCCTGGAGCAGCAGGAACAGGAACGTGAAACCCCCAGACGCATCGACATCGCGACACGATGGGCCAATATGGCGGCTTTCACAACGGAACTGAAACAGGCCCGGGGCGCACTCGAGGAGCCTGCGGTGATGGTTGTTCAACTTCCCGTATTATCACTACAACCTGTTGAAAAAATTAGGAATTTTTACCCCAACGCAAAGCTTGTGATGATTTATCAGTTCACCCAGGCTGATGCCTTGAGCGCTTTTGAAGAAGCTGGCATCCCAACACTGAAATGGCCGGTAAGCTGGCAGGAAATTGAACACACGGTTATCTCGGAAAGCGGCCAGCCTGCACGGGCAGGCCGACAGGTACCCCGACACTACTCGGACGAGGAGCTGATCGCCATCGGCAGCCAGGACGATGACCCTACGCGATGCCCCCAACACCTGGTTGAGGCCATACATCAGCTCAATGCGCTGGCCAGTTATACCGCAGACTGCGCACGGGAACAGACGACGCCACAGGCCATGTTGAACGCACAAAGCGATATCAGCCAGGCGCGAGCACATCTCGAGGTCGCGCTTGGCACACTTTTGCAGGATGGTGACATCAGTTTGGTGGGTTAAAAGAAGCAGGCCCGAGAAACGGTAACAACCCTCAAATGACTCGACGCCGATACCTGTACAAAATCTAAACAAAAACTCAATAAATGTTTGACAGCACTCATCTGTACTGTACACTTCCTCTCAACAAGACAGTTCTAGGCGTGCAAGCAACTTCGTGCAGTCCTCCCTTTCAAGTGTCCTTCCCCCAGAAGAGAAGTTGCATTCAGGCGGTTACCGCCGCCTGACACGCCATTTTTATTTCAAGCCAGCCGCCTAATTATCTGAGAGATGGGATATGCCTGGGCCAGTCTGGCATATAAACTGCGTACCGCCGCACAACACAATAACTTTAACCGCGGCATGCTAGGCAGTTACCTCAATGCCCCCTGGATCATGACAGCGTACATCACCAGACTAACCCTGCTTGGCCTGATGCCAATACTGCTGAGCGCCTGCGGAGGCGGTGGAGGCGGCAGCAGTCGCGCAGCACCACCGGTAACACCGCAGAACGTCGCACCCCAAGCCCGCTTCACGCTCAGCCAAAGCAGTGGTACCGCTCCCCTGGTCATCACCGCAGACGCCAGCTCATCGAGCGATAGCGACGGCGTGATTGATACCTATACCTGGTCCTTCGCTGGTAACCCTGGCATTGGACCTGTGGCTCAATTCACTTTTGAAAACCCGGGCAGCTTTAACGTACAACTGACGATTACGGACAACGACGGCGCCACAGCGACGGCGACAAGAACCGTAACGGTCAGCGACAGCCTCGATACTTACACGCTAAGCGGCACCGTACGCATTTCGAGCGCCACCGCAGTAGACAATGATGTCAACGATCGACTGACCAATCCAATCACCAACAATTCTTTTGTAACTGCGCAAGACCTGCCCGCCCCGGTAACTCTGGGCGGCTTCGCAAATGTGTCCGGCGCAGGCGAGCCCACGGGCAATTTTTTCACCACCGGCGACAAAGACGACTTCTATCAACTGGATCTGAACGGCAACGAGACGGTCATCCTGACCATCGCCGATGCGGGCACAGACCTCGATCTGGTGCTTTGGGACGAACAACGTCAACTGGTGGATGCTTCCCTGGGCACATCCACAGCCAGTGGTAATTTTGAGATAGTTGAAGCACCCACGGCGGGACGTTATTTCATTCAGGTGTTTGCCCTGAACGGCGCCAGCAATTACGTGCTTACCATCGGACAAAACCCTGCAGGCAATGCCATGATGCAGGACGCGCGAAGGCTCAGCGATCCTTTTGTTCCGGGCGAGCTGATCTTGAAACACAAACCAGAACACGCCCACCCGAAAGGCGGCTTCCGCACCCTCGAACGACAGTTGAGCGAAGGCGATCGTGTCCTGGCGCCCGGCTTGTTTATTCCTGAACTTGCGATGAAGCAGGCAAAACTGCCTGCAAAGGGTCGAATCAGCGCAGATTTAAGAAGGCGCTGGCAGACCCTGATGGCCTTGAAACAGGCGCGTCAGAACAAAGATATTCTGAGCGCCGAACTGAATCTGCTGGCGAAAACCCACGCCTCTCCTGATGATGGCTTTTTTGACTCGCAGTGGCATTACCCCGCCATCAACCTGCCGCTGGCCTGGGATACAACAACCGGTTCGCCAGATGTCATTGTTGCTGTCGTCGACAGTGGTGTGCTGCTTAATCACCCCGATCTGAACGGGAAGTTGGTGGCAGGCTACGATTTTGTTTCGGACAGTACCCGCGCACGCGACGGTGACGGCATAGACTCGAACCCTGATGACCCGGGCGACCAGGAGTTTGGCGGATCCAGCAGTTTTCACGGCACCCACGTCGCCGGCACGGTAGGCGCCAACACCAACAACGGTAGCGGCGTTGCCGGGGTTGGCTGGCAAACACGCATAATGCCCATGCGCGCCCTGGGAGAAGGTGGCGGGTCTACCTTTGATATCGTGCAGGCGGTCAGATATGCGGCGGGACTGCCGAATAATTCAGGCACAACACCCACCCAACGCGCCGACATCATCAACCTGTCCCTGGGTTCCAGTTTTTCCTCCCCCAGTGAACAGGAGGCCTATACCGCCGCCATTCAGGCCGGGGTCATCATCATTGCCAGCGCAGGCAATGACGCATCCGACCTGCCCTCCTATCCTGCCGCCTACGATGGGGTCATTGGCGTCAGCGCTACAACCATTACCAACGAGATAGCCAGTTACTCGAATTTTGGCAGCAGCATTGACGTCGCCGCGCCGGGTGGCTCAAACATTACCGATTTTAATGGCGACGGCATTGGCGATGGAGTGATCTCCACCATAGGCGACGACAGCAGCGGCGGCCCGATCGAGTTTGGGTACTTGTCACAGTTTGGTACGTCGATGGCAGCACCACATGTCTCTGGTGTCGCCGCATTGATGAAAGCCATCTACCCGGCTTTGAGCCCGACAGAATTCAGCGCAGCCCTGTCTGCCGGTGATCTGACTGATGATCTTGGTGAACCGGGTCGGGACGATCGCTATGGATACGGTTTGATCAACGCACAGAAAGCAGTGATCGCCGCCACGCGGTTAGCCAACGGTCAGGGTGTTGATCCTGGCCCGATTCTTGTGGCGTCTGCCAGCACCCTCAACTTCGGGAGCTTCAGCAACAACCTGAGCGTTACATTGCAGAATGTAGGGACGGGCAATCTGACTATCACCGGAGTAAGCGCAAACGCGCCCTGGGTTACGATCACGCCACCACCAACAGGCAATGGCCTGGGTGAGTATCAGATCAATATCAACCGCAGCAACCTCATCGACGGCGCCTATCAGGCCACGTTGACGTTCGGGTCGTCAGCCAACCAGGTGCAGATAACGCTGATCATGCAGGTATCCAGCATGGGCACTACCGCAGATGCCGGTTTGTTGTATGTCATTCTGGTCGACGAAGACGGTGAGACCGTGGTGCCGGCACGCCTGGTCACTACCACCGACGGTACCTATCCATTCACAATTAACAACGTACCCGCTGGTCAGTACCGATTATTCGCAGGCACAGATGCAGATGACGATGCGGTGCTGTGCGACGCGGGAGAATCCTGCGGCGCACTGGCTACCCTCGACTCGCCAACTATTGTCGCCGTAAATGATGATCTGCAGGGTCTCGACTTTGAATCCAGCTTCCGCGTCAACCTCAACACCAGCGGCATTCAGGGACAGACATCGACAGAAACCCCGGTCCGGGAAAACAGCGGACTGACTTTTTCTAAACAAGACGTCGTGGTACAGCCCTGATGACACCTGTACAGCTGGCTCACAGCGCGAAACTCCTGATTCTGATCAACCTGACCTGGCTGGTATCAGGCTGCCAGACAGGCACACCCATCACCGCGGTTGAACTGTTCAGCCATGCAAACTGCAATGGTGTCACTAAAGGCATCCAACAAATACAATTTGCGGATCTCGCGGCGATCCGCAATGTGCAGATGTTAACCAGCCCCACATCTGGCGGCGCTGATCAACCTGCCAACGACACGCAGACAAAAGACGTTCTGTTGTTTGTTATATCAAACGGCAATCAGCCCACACCCGGATACGGCTTCGACCTGGCAAAAACGGATGCGACATCAAGTGAAGTAGAGTTACATTATCGCTGGCGCATCCCACCAGCGGACGCTGTTCTGGCTCAGGTGATGACGTCTCCGTGCACGGTGATTCAACTTGACGCTCACCCTGATCTTGCCGCGGTCAGCGCCTGGCTGGATGACACCCTGCTCGGCAGGGTTATGTTGCAGCCACAGTCTAACTGAGTAACTCCAGCGCAACCTCTGCACGGGTAGACACACTGAGCTTGTAGGCTTCCAGATCCATATCGCGATTTTCGCCCATCGCCCCAACCAGATATCGTTTGTAAACACCTTGGCCGATAGCTGCGAGGCGCCAGTGTGAAAAAGCGCGATAATAAGAAATATTACTGAGATCACGACCTGTTGCCTGAGCATAACGCTCAGCCAGCGCCTCCCGATCCGGGAAACCACCCGCCGCAGTAGGTGCCGTGTCTTCCGGCGCTTCACCAGGCAGCACCCACCAGTTCAACATATACCCCACATCAGCCAACGGATCCCCTAAGGTACATAGCTCCCAATCCAGTACAGCGGCAATTTTGCCATCGGCCACAATCATGTTACCGAGCCGATAGTCGCCATGCACGATGCTTGCGCCAATCTGTTCAGGCATCAGTTCTGTCAGCAGACGACTGGTCTCATCCATGGCAGGTATCTCATGGGTTTTGCTGGCTTCCCACTGCTTATTCCAACGTTTGAGCTGTCGCGCCAGATAAGCCTCTTTACGACCCAGGTCCCCGAGCCCGACATCATCCGGATTAATAGCATGCAACCTGGCGAGCACATCTACCACATCATGACCTATCGATATACGTTCCTCTGCGGTCAAATTGCTGGCCGCTTCGGTATCATGCAAAACAGGACCGGGGACATATTCCATCACGTAGAACGGCGCACCGTTCACTTCCGGGTCGTGGCACACACCAACGGTCTTTGCGACTGGTACTGAAGAGCCCGCCAATCCGGATATTATTTTGTGCTCGCGGCCCATATCGTGTGCACTTTCCAACACGTGCCCAAGCGGCGGACGACGCAATACAAAAGTCTGGCCATTACTGTCTTTGACCGAAAACGTCAGATTCGAGTGCCCGCCGGCAATTAAGGTGAATTCGAGCGGCGGCGAAATATCTTCTACCTGCGTTTTAAACCACTGTGTAACGTTGGCTGCGTGAACGCCTTCAACCTCTTGCATGTCTATCCCCCAGAAAATTACTCATACTCTTATACTTAGCTATCGGAAAAGCAATATTTAACAACGCTCTGAGCCCATTGTGCTGAAATTGCCACCAAAATATCCGCAGAAACAACGTTTATGCGCGCTGTTTCTGCTTGCGAGTTTATGTCTCGGGTGCAGCGCCGTGGAACCTGGCGTTCCCAAGTCGAACACACCTGCGGAGAACCGCGCCACCCTGACCCTGGCCAACGGCTCAA